CTAGTAAACACTTTCCTTGCTCAATACTCTTTCCTGTGTAATCTCTGAAACCCTAGCTCTCTCTGCCTAGTAAACACTTTCCTTGCTCAATACTCTTTCCTGTGTAATTGTGTCTAGCTTCTTTTTCTGACTTAATTAAAATCACACGACTTAATTTTTTTTTTTTTTTTTTTAAATGTTAAATTGATTAATCAACAAAAAAGAAAATAATTACAAGAGTTTGGTACGGCTTTGTTCTATAACAAGAAATTTTAAACTGGAAAAAAATAAGCTGGACAACTAAATTGGAGAGCAAAGTGGCCGTGAGAACACTTTACGGGCTACTACGGAGGTTGGTCCAACGATCCAAAAGAGAGCTATACTTGCTGTGTGGCTTGGGGTGGAGGCTCTTTATGCGATCTGTGATCACCTTTCCAATCAATATTGTCAATGTTTGATAGCTATTGTGGCTCCGGGAGTGGATGCGTGTGTTTCGTTCTCTCCAAATAAAATAGATAGTCGTTTGGAAGACCATACGGATTAGAACTGCATCAATCATTGGTGAGGAGAAACGAGTGATGGCTTGTAACGTGAGATACCAGTCCGGATTTGTTCGCCGTCGCAATAAGGGGAGACATAAATCTGACCAGATAGAGTAAGTATAAGGGCATGCGTAAAAGAGGTGATCCCGAGTCTCATTACGCTCTCCACACAAGGGACACGCCTGAGTGTGGCCCCAAGCTCTCATACGCTGACCTGTTGATAGTCTATCTCGAATGGCTAACCATGTAATAAACGAGTAGCGACTTAAATTCATGCTAACCCTTTGATTTTATTTTATAAAGTTAAGTTATAACAACCTTGCTGGTGATATTAGAATTGGTCAGGAAGATATGATTAGCAAATTACAAGATTCTTTTTTTTTTTATTTTTTGTGATATACCAATAATTCCCAAAAAGGATGAGCTTAACACCAGCTTTTTTGCCACGTATGGATAAATATTTGGCAATATATGGCTCGATTGGATTTTGAGTTTAATGGCTTTCATAGATAACGCTAAAATTCGATTATTTTCAATAGGTTTATAGGTTTGATCAGTAACTTTATTGTGTTCTTTAGAAAGAGTTATGGTAAGGCATACATGATATATCATATCGAGGTAGAAACAAGATCGCGAGACTTCAACAGATGTTCAAGAAAATACAAATTACGATAGTGTTAAAAATACATCATATAAGTTATGTGATCAGTCAAGTGGCGAATCAATTTTCTCACTGGTTGTGTTTGGAGAATTTATATCTAGCCCCTCTGCAAAAAGCCATGGGAGTGCTCAAGGCTCAGTGACTGACTATCTATTGGTTTACAAGATTTTAGAAAGCTAGCTAGTACATGATGTACTGTACATCTGAATCTGGAAAGGACAAAGATACCTGAGAGGCGAGAGCATTTCAGGGATATCATCGGTCAATTTTGGAAAATTGAGACTACAAGAAACTAAAGTGTGGCTATACTTATACTTTTTAACCACGTACCCGTTTCCTATTAATTTTGTAAACCGTTTCCACAGTTCAGTATGTCCGTTTATGATTCCATGCAACCTAAAAAATATATACTATTTTATAATTGTGATTTATTGTTTTATTGAATTACTGATAATGTATTATTTAATTCTTTTCTTAAAAAGCTAAATATGTTAAGCACGATATATATCTTCTATATATTATAACATAGTTTTTGGCTGATGTGGCAAGTCCACAAATTTTTTTTTACCTTTTTTAAAAAAAAATTCGACTATCATATCTATAATATCCAAATTTAGATTTTTCAAATTTCTCTATTATTACCATATATGATATTTTGAAATTCCTATACACTTAATGCTTTGATATTTTGAAATGCACTTTAAATTTGAATATAAATTTATCGGGTTGGTTATATAACGTACGTTAGTTTGTCCATGTCACCATGTAAATTTATTACTTCGTGTAGATATCAATAAAATAATTTAATTTATATGTGTTAGTATATGTTGGGTTATACTTCGTGTAGGTGACAATCATTTTTCCAATATATAACATTTTTGCAATATAGTTCTTCCAAAAAAAAAGATATATCAAAAAGACAAACAAAAAATACAGTAAAATCCTCTAAATATGGGACCAAAATATTTTATTAATTTATACTGATAAGCTGTTAAAAAATTTCACAAAAATATGAGTTCAAACAATTTGATCTAAATAAAATAAATGTTTTGAAATTACAAAAGTTTTTAGTTTGGGACTTGAAATTTTAATATTTAGAAGAAAAGACAAATCATTAGAAAAATGATTCACTAACAAAGACAATGGTTGAATTCACTTATACAAATTATATACATAAGTGATATACATAAATTTAAAATTTTGAATAGTAACCTCAATTGTTGTATTTGAGCCGCCAATATGACTATCGAAATAAAAATGATGCATATACAGAATTTTAAAACTTGTAGAAAATTTTGGCTATTTTTATGAAATATTAATTATAGACGATACTATATATAATTATTAATTTATGTTATTAATAGACTATATATTTATATATGAATTTCTAAAAAATATTGTCTTATTGAATTTTGTTAATTTTTATATTTGTTCGATTTGGGACGTGTTCATTAATTTATCGAGTATTAATTTATAAAGGTTTTAGATCTACTAAAGAAATGTCATCTTTCAAGGCATTCATATAATTTCAAATCTTTCATTACATGGAGGACAAATTTATTGATAAGGAAATATCTTAAATGACTTTGTCAAACAAGAAAATTATAAGATCATAATTTATTTTTTTTCTGCCAAATATACCTCAAGATTTTTATTGTTTTTTATTTTTGTTCTTTTTAGTTGTTTTCTTATAGACTTTCATGAACATTTTATATAATTTGTATACCATCTAAAACCACAGACAAAGAGTTCGAGATGATGAAATATATAAAACGAATTGGTTCATCAATTTCCATCATAACGATCGTGGACAACGCAATGTATATAGGTACACTTGGTAGCAACACATTTACTTTCCAAACTGGAAATGGGGGATTAGATATGTTATATATTGCACCTTAGGATTAAAGTGGTTAAGAAGTTTTGATCATTTGGTAAAAAATTCTCTATATGCATAGGAAATTTTGAGTGATACTCTACTCTCTTCTTAGGAGAATCCGATATTTACTGAAATGAAGTTATTTTTGGATAGAAATGAAGACAACTTAACTAAAGTCTAAACATTTTTTATTGTATCTAGTGCAGCACAGGTACAATATCAAGATCGACACCACTCGGAAATAACATCTCCTTATCTTCTTTTTTATTTTATATATTTATTGTATTTTCACAGCAAAACAAATTGTGGAGAAAAAAATGTAAGAAAGTACAGTTAAACCTCTACAAATTAATAAATATTAATTTATAAAGAATTCTGATTTAGTTGTTAAAACTTTAAAAAAATTAGTTAAAACAATTTAATCTAAATAAACTTAATGCTTGGATGTTAAAATTTTTGTAGTTTTCGACTTGAACATTTAATATTTAGAAGAAATTTTTTTTTTTTGACAATAAGTAACAAATATAATAGATGAACTCACAAAGACAAGCGATATACATAAATTTAAATTTATGAGTAATAACTTCAATTTTTGTATTTGAACAACATATATGACTATTGAAATTAAATTATGCATATTTAAAATTTGAAACTTACAGAATATTTTGGCTATTTTTATTAAAAATTTATAGACGATACAACAATAACATAGTTCAAAAACACAACATAACATATTTTTTATATTATAAAAGTTAGTGGTGAGATCTAGTAAAATTTCGTTTAAAAAAAAATACAAAAAATATTATATTATATATATATATATATATATATTTATGTGTGTGTGTGTGTAAACTTACATGACTGGTAATTTATGTTATTAAGAGGACTATATATTAAAAAATAATTATCTTATTATTTATATCAATTTTGTTCATTTTTACACTATCCCGATTTGTTTATTTATATCATATTAAAAAATAATTATCTTATTATTTATCTTATTATTTATATCAAATGGTGTGTCTTAGTCTCTCATATATTTCTTGAGAGACTAAGACACACCATTAGAGAAATAAGTAGACCAACTAACCTAAAAAGATTATTGATTAATGTGGCCTCTAAAATTCTTATACAAAATGTTGCCTAGGACACTCGCCCTTTTTCCATAGTGGTGGTAATCACGGCTCTGCGTCAGCTCGTTTAGGTTGGTCCATTACATACCAACCGATCAGATCGGTTCATTAATAAAGTTCTCACTTAGACATATGGTGGTCCGAGGTTATCCGGTATTTTAGGATGTGAGATACGACACATAGCTGCATATAATGTTTTCTCAAGGGGAACCACATTAATAATGGTTAGAAAAAGTTCTTGAAGATGATGACTTGCAGATCAAGTAAGCTTAACTTATCCTTTTAAACATCTCTAAACCTCGTTTGGTTATCCTTTATGGTGAAGATATCATCTGTTCAAACTTCAAACAAACTCAAGTAGCAGTTTTGATCAATTTCAAACACTATCATTCTTTCATCGAATAGAATATTAATTAGTGTTTGGAAAAAGCAAAACATTTGATGATCGGATCACCTTATCTAGTTATCTTATATGATATTTTTCTATAAAAACAACAAGTTTTAGATTATTATATATAAATGATTATTCCAACTACTGTCTTTTTTAGAATCTTCCTGGAGAGAGGTCCAAATTTAAAAGTCCAATACTCTAAAATGGTTTTTGAAATCAAATGACGAATACTGATATGAAATCATCAATGACGTCAAAGTTTATAGAATTTATATATTCTTTTTGATCAAATGAAGACTACAATTTTGTTTTGTCCTCTTTGAATTTTCTCACTAATAAAAAAACTCTAGTAACATTAATTGCTTTATCTTCCACTCCACTCCACTCCTATAAATCCCACTCAAATCTGCTTCTGATTTCATAAAAATACATTTTCTTTGTATCTTTTTTTCTTAATCTTCCGAAGATTGATTCATCAATGGCAGAGGAAGCTTGTAAAGTGCGTAGGATGAAGTTAGGGAGCCAAGGTCTTGAAGTTTCGGCTCAGGGACTTGGTTGCATGGGTCTCTCCGCCTTCTACGGTGCTCCGACACCTGAGACTAACGCCGTGGCCCTCCTCCGTCATGCCGTTAACGCTGGCGTCACATTCTTGGATACTTCCGACATCTACGGTCCCGAGACAAACGAACTGCTTCTTGGAAAGGTAACAAATTTAGTGACTGACTGCTCGTGGATTTGATTTTTGAAATTAGGGTTTTACGCTGTGATCTAGGGTTTAGGGTTTTAGGCTTTTAGGGTTCATGTCAATCATCAAGCATTGGATCTGTTTTTTCTTTGTGGTGGCAGGCTTTGAAAGATGGATTGAGGGAGAAAGTGGAATTAGCGACAAAATTTGGGATAACTGCTTCTGAAGATGGAAAGTTTGGTTTCAGGGGAGATCCAGAGTATGTGAGATTTGCTTGTGAAGCAAGCTTAAAGCGGCTTGGTGTTACCTTCATTGATCTTTATTACCAGCATCGAATTGATACTACTCTGCCCATCGAAGTCACGGTATGGCTTCTTGGGTTGAATTTTACCCTAACTTGTGTTTAATGTTACTGATAAATCTCATAGAGCACCAAATCTGTGATAAGTAATAAGTCTTTCAGGGAACAACTTGGAGTGTGAGATATGCTTGTGATAATTATATAGCTTATCCATAATGCTCTGTTTCTTGTTATTATAATTTGGTTTGCTCTTTGTTGTTGTTGAACTTATGGTTTGGGTGAAGATGGGAGCACTGAAGAAGCTAGTTGAAGAAGGTAAAATAAAGTATATCGGTTTATCAGAAGCTTCAGCTTCAACGATCAAAAGAGCACATGCTGTTCACCCGATAACCGCTGTGCAAATAGAATGGTCTTTATGGTCGAGAGACGTGGAAGAAGATATCATTCCAACCTGCAGGTGTGAAGAATCAGAATCAGCCATAAGTTTCGTCTTTGTTTACATGATTATTTCATTACATGTTTCTTTTGATTTCTCTAGGGAACTTGGGATTGGAATTGTAGCGTATAGCCCTCTAGGAAGAGGCTTCTTCGCATCCGGACCCAAGCTTGTTGAAAATCTGGAGCAAGATGATTATCGAAAGGCAAGTACATGATTGATTCAGTTCTCTGTTTCCGTATACCGACATTGTATATGAGTTCTTTAAAGCGCATTTCAAGATTTGGCCATGCTTCTTGATATTACTCTGTCACAGGGTCTACCAAGATTCCAACAGGAGAATCTAGACAACAACAAGATTCTCTACGAGAAAGTCCAAGCGATGGCGACAAAGAAAAGCTGCACTCCTGCACAACTAGCTCTAGCATGGGTTCACCACCAAGGAGATGATGTTTGTCCTATTCCAGGAACCTCCAAGATCCAAAACCTCAACCAGAACATTGGAGCTTTATCAGTGAAGCTCACTCCTGAAGAGATGGTTGAGCTTGAGGCCATTGCTCAACCAGATTTCGTGAAAGGTGAACGATATGACAACAACATGGTTACTTACAAAGACTCAGAGACTCCACCATTGTCTTCTTGGAAAGAAAAATAAAATACATGTTTGGAAACTGTTTTGAGGGTATACCGCATTGGCCAAATGGCAGTAATATTGTGCTGAAGATGTGTCTGTGTGTGTGTGAAATAAGTTAAGTATATGGGTGTGTGAGTTTTCAATAAGAAAGAGCCAATGCCTTGTGAGGACTTTGCGTTTATGTGTTGATACATCTATTTGAGCCAGTTATTGTGGATTCTATAAGCTTGAAACTCATTTTAAGTCGTTATTTGAACGATTCTTTTAAGGTACGTGAATTACTCATATCTTTCATAAATCAACGCAAAGAAATTTAAAAACACCAAAAACAAATACTTTATTATGCCAAGCAAGTCAAAACACTTGCTTGTTGATTGAAATCAGGCTATAGAATTCTCTTCTTCACATACAGCGGTTTAGATTCACAATACAACAAGCGGATGATAAAGTTTCTTAGAGAGCCTTGAGGATATCCTCTGCGCTGGAAACCGTGAACTCGCCACCAGATTCAACATTGGCTACAGTCACCTTAAGGTTATCGAGCAACAGCGCGAATCTCCTTGACCTAATCCCAAGACCCTTGTCCTTCAGATCAAGCTCAAGTCCAAGAAGATGCGTGTATTCTCCAGACCCATCTGCTACAAACTTCACATGCTTGTTCTCTGGGTATGTTTTTCCCCATGCCTTCATCACAAATGGATCATTCACTGCAACAAATGAATTCTACATTTTGGTCACTATACACAAACTCATAGAGACAAGAACAGAGCAGAGACCCAAAACATATCAATTCATACTTACCACTAAAGCAAATGATCTCATCAATACCCTTTGACTTCAGCTCCTCTGCTTTCCCAATGAATCCAGGCACATGGCTCATGCTAACCTCACAAAACCCAAAAACACAATTCTCAAATCAAAATCTAAGAATCCATCAGATTCACACATCTTATAAAACTAATTCAAAGGATAAATCTGAAAAATGTTTGAAACTTGGTACCTGCATGTGGGAGTGAAAGCACCAGGAACACCAAAAAGAATGACTTTTTTACCGGCGGCGATAGAGTGAACGGAGACGGTCTGAAGCTGATCATTTTCATCAAAGAAAGAGATAGTTCCGTCTGGTACAACATCGCCGACAGTAATTGGAGCCATGAGGAGATCTCTGTTGGATATGAAGACAGGGGAAAATACAAGAGTTTTGACTTGAGAGCGAATATGACTTTAGGTCTTAGGACAATTTATAGTGTTTTACGGAATGAAGTAAATCATTAATAGAGATTTCTAAATTTAGTTTGACCATAAAAAAATAATAGATTTTCTAAAATCATGATTTTAAGAAAAAATGTAAAATGTAGGAGCAATATCCAAAAATAAACTTTGTTTTCCAAAAATACAACAGTCTTTTTTAGGAAACCCTCACTAATAAACTCATATCATCATATGCTAGAACATGTACACATACTTTGGAAGACATTGTATGATAAAAATTGAGTTTTTTTTTAAAAAAAATTTCAAGCAATATCAAAAATCCAAAATAGAAATGCAATGATATTCCATGGATGAGAAACAAACATGATAAATGTATTGAAAAATTAATGTCAATGCCATCTATAAAAAAGTTTCAGATTCTATTGGAATTTGGCAGGAGACATAAAAAGATGAATTATGAATTATATTGGTCAATTAAGATAACTAGCATAACCTAAAAAGGAGCATAAAATGACTAGCATAACTTGCATACCCATGAATTTTATACACTGGCTGGTACACAACAAATTATGAATTTCCATCCGGCGCGGCTGCAGTGAAATATTTTATTCCAAGCAACACATTCGAGTATTTAATATTTAGAACCAAATATATTAGATATTGAAACGTATATGGGTATGTAATCTAGAAAGCTAAGAATCAAAACCAGTTGATTATCTAGTAGTTTGTACTATTACTCATATCCATAGATTTGGTATGCATCTTCACGTGAATTACTCATATTCATAAATCAACGCAAAGAAAAACACCAAAACCAAATACTTTATTATTATGCAAAGAAAGTCACAATGACACCGCTTTATTATGCGTTGCTTGTTGTCTGAAATCAGGCTAAAAAATCGAGAACTAATTCGGTTATTTTTTTTCCAAACCAAAACCAATGGATTCGGTTACTGATTTAAAGGAACGTGTAATCGTAACCGGGTCGGTTTATAATAATCGATCTAATTGATTAGTAAACCAACTTTTAAACCAGTAGATTACATCATCAGATCTCAGAAGCGTCGTCACCAAGACACTAACAAAACTACAAGTGTCCTACGAGAGTCGAGAATCGATCGATCAAGAGAATCCATGGCGGATGCTTGCAGAGTGAAGAAGATGAAGCTTGGAAGCCAAGGCTTTCATGTATCGGTACAAGGTCTTGGTTGCATGGGAATCTCTGCTTTCTACGGTCCTTCCAAGCCGGAAAATGACGCAATCGCTCTCCTCCACCACGCTATTCACTCCGGCGTTACTTTCTTCGACACCTCCGATGTCTACGGTCCTGAGACCAATGAATTACTCCTTGGAAAGGTTCAATTTCGATAATTCCCGATCGTTTTTTGGTTTGGAGTGATCGTCAAATGTATTTGGAAAACGAAGAAAAAAAGATTTGACGTAGGAATTGGCCTTAGATTTTTTTGAGTTTTACATTTGTAGAAATGATTTTGAATTGTGTTAGGCTCTGAAGGATAGGGAACAAGTGGAACTTGCGACCAAATTTGGAGCTACTTATTTAGAGGGAAAGAGAGAGGTTAGAGGAGATCCTGAGTATGTAAGGGCTGCTTGTGAGGCTAGATGTTGCCTGTATTGATCTTTATTATCAGCATCGTGTCGATACTCGTGTTCCTATTGAAATCACTGTAAGCTTCCTCTTGCAAATCCTCCTCCATGCTACGGTGATTTCAATAGGAACACGAGTATCGACAAGTTTTCCTCTGTCGATATGATAGCACAAAACAGAGGAAAACTTGTGACACAGACGAAAGATCATTGTCTCCAATCTATTTACTTATATATAACCTATTATTAGTTCCTCTGTGTCACAAGTTTTCCTCTGTTTTGTGCTATCGTTAGCGTATCCGTGAATGGTTTTGTCCAGTAGGTTACCTTTTTCTGAACTTGTCATTATCTTTTTCTGTCAATTCCAAGATGGGGGAACTAAAGAAGCTATTTGAAGAGGGTAAAACAAAGTACATTGGTCTGTCTGAAGCCTCTGCCTCAACTATCAGAAGAGCGCATGCTGTTCACCCAATTACTGCCGTGCAGCTAGAGTGGTCCTTGTGGACGAGAGACGTGGAAGAAGAAATCGTCCCAACCTGCAGGTATGCAGATTTCTTCATCCTTTTCTTGGTGCACTATCCATCAATTATTAGTGTCTTCATCTTCTCTTTCCTTCAACAGGGAACTTGGGATTGGGATTGTTGCTTACAGTTCTCTAGGACGATGTTTCTTTGCATCAGGACCTAAGCTTGTTGAGAAGCTGGAGAATGATGACTTCAGAAAGGCAATCACTGTTATAAGCATTGAAACACTTGATTGATGATGAACCTTAGATAAGCTTTGATCAATTCTGTTTCTTATCACAGACTCTACCAAGATTCCAACAAGAAAACTTAGACCACAATAAGATTCTCTATGAGAAAGTTTGTGCAATGTCGGAGAAGAAAGGATGCACTCCCGCACAGCTTGCTCTCGCATGGGTTCACCACCAAGGAGATGATGTTTGCCCGATCCCGGGGACCACTAAGATCGAAAACCTCAATCAGAACATTGGAGCTTTATCAGTGAAACTCACTTCTGAAGAGATGACTGAGCTCGAGACCATTGGCCAACCAGATTCTGTGAAAGGAGAAAGATACATGGCCATGGTGCCCACCTTCAAGAACTCTGACACTCCACCGTTGTCTTCTTGGAAAGCCGCTTAAAACAGCTTGAGAGTGTCTATGGTTATGGACCTTATGGTTGCACCTTGGCATTGAAGTGGTGTAACTTATGTCTGCCAAATCGAGGTAATAATAGGTTGAAGTTGTTCATTTTAGAGAGTTCGACCTATGCTTGGTGGCTTTTTCAACCTACCAGGGGTTTTGCTTTCAAGAATAATATGAAGATTCCATTACTTTATCTTGAATGGGGTGAGAGAAAAAGTGGTTGCAACTTGCAAGTTCCACAAGTTAAAATTGATTGAGAAAGAAAGTGAAGACATGTTAGACTATATCAAAAATGAATTTGACTTATGAAGATTCCATTACTTTATTGGTTAACAAATTCAATTTTGTTTACGTTAAGAGGAAAAAACTGCACCAACTACACAAAAACGACACGGCTTTTTCTTGTTCATCATCACACCAACCCAACTCCACTCAAATTCACAGATCTTCAAGAGTCACCTAGACAAGTCAATAGACAGAGAGAGATAGAGTTGTGACAAGAGATTCATGGCGGAAGTTTGCGGAGTGAGAAGGATAAAGCTTGGAAGCGAAGGCCTTGAGGTATCGGCGCAAGGCCTTGGTTGCATGGGCCTCTCCGCTTTCTACGGTGCTCCCAAGCCTGAAAATGACGCCATCGCTCTCATCCACCACGCTGTTAACTCCGGCGTCACGTTCCTTGACACCTCCGACTTCTACGGTCCTGAGACCAACGAGCTTCTCCTAAGCAAGGTTCGGTTGAGCTCCATAGCTGTAGAAATGATTTCGATGTTGAAAGTTTAGAATTTTGTTGAAAGATTGGATTTTTATCAGGCTCTCAAGGATGGGGTGAGAGAAAAAGTAGAACTTGCGACCAAATATGGAATCAGGTATGCAGAGGGGAAAGTAGAGTTTAAGGGAGATCCTGCTTATGTAAGAGCTGCGTGTGAGGCTAGTTTAAAGAGGCTAGATGTTCACTGCATTGATCTTTATTATCAGCATCGAATTGATACTCGTGTCCCTATCGAAATCACTGTAAGCCCTCTTCTTGTCAATCATATTCCTTGATGGTTTTGCAACTTTCAACTGAAATGGAAGTTATATACTTCATCTCCTTGAGCTTCACACCTTTGGCTCATGACATGTTGGGACTAATATAGATAATTGGTTTGTCACACACTTCATGAACTTTATAGAAAGCCGGAACCTTTCGCTGAACTTAACAATTTCTTTTTTGTCTTTCAATTTCAAAGATTGGAGAGCTGAAGAAGCTAGTTGAAGAAGGTAAAATAAAGTATATCGGTTTGTCTGAAGCTTCAGCTTCAACTATCAGACGAGCACATGCTGTTCACCCGATAACCGCTATGCAAATAGAATGGTCCTTATGGTCGAGAGATGTGGAAGAAGATATCATTCCAACCTGCAGGTATCCAGATTTCATTTCATCCTCCTTTCTTGATGCACTATCTATCAAATATGTAACATCTTCTCTCTCTCTCTCTTTGTTCAGGGAACTTGGGATTGGAATTGTTGCTTACAGTCCTCTAGGAAGAGGTTTCTTTGCATCAGGACCGAAGCTTGTTGAGAACCTAGACAATAATGACTTCAGAAAGGCAAGTACACAGCCTTTGTATCACTTGTTTGATTGATGAACTTTTGGCAATCAACTCACTGTTTATCTGTTCAATTCTGTTTCTTATTGCAGACTCTACCAAGATTCCAACAGGAAAACTTAGACCACAACAAGATTCTCTTTGAGAAAGTTTCTGCAATGTCGGAGAAGAAAGGGTGCACTCCCGCGCAACTAGCCCTTGCATGGGTTCATCACCAGGGAGATGATGTTTGCCCCATCCCAGGAACCACTAAGATTGAAAACCTTAACCAGAACATTGGAGCTTTATCAGTGAAACTTACTCCCAATGAGATGTCTGAGCTCGAGTCCCTTGCCCAACCAGAGTCTGTGAAAGGAGAAAGATCCATTAGCATCCTGACCACGTTCAAGAACTCTGAGACTCCACCATTATCTTCTTGGAAAGCCGCTTAAAATCGTCCGAGTTTCTCTGGTTGTTGTGGGGTTCATGACACTGAAGTGGTCTAACTTATATCAGCCAGATCAAGGTAATAAATGTGTTAATGCCTTGAAGAATAAATAATTTATAGAGTTCCCCAGGTGAAAACTTCAATTTACATGTCATACATTGTAACCAAACTCTATAAAGAAATATATGTTCTGATACAAACTTAAATAACGTTTACAGCAAAAATCTTACCAAGCTATCTATATCGTCACCCAACTCTATGAAGGATATGTGCGATGAAAATGTATCGGTTCCATCTCTTTTGTTCTTGTTTTTTTCTTCTGCATTTACCCCACTCTCCTTTTTGATTTTCATAATTAGTTTTGCAGATAAAGATTTCCATAATATTCAACAAAAAAGTATAATTTTCATAAAGCTAAGAAAAAGTGTTTATCTAAAAAATTAACTCACAAGTCACTATATTTACTTCAATTTAATAGAAAGGTAAAGCGTTTAACTTAGACTCCGATCGCTAACATTACATAATTGCATAATGACATAAATTGCAAATTGAAAACTGGCAGAAACTGTAGAATGAAAATTTGTGCTGATTCAATACATTTGTATACCGACTTATTTGCAGAATGAGTTTTTACGTGTAATTTTTTAGGCGAAAAAGGTAAATTTGCGTTTTGTCAAACATTATTTTTATTGTTAGATAAACTTTTTTTATTGGTAAACTTTTTGTATAATCGCATTAAAAAATGGCATTCAATTTAATAAACTTAAAAAGAATATAATTGTTGTTAAAATATTATAACAACAAAAATAAAAATAAACCTCTTAGTAATCATTATTAATAGATTTACAAGAAAAAAAAAATTGAAGTTTATAGTTTCTCACAAGTGAAGAGACTGTTAGGACCTGACTGGTTTAAACGCAACAGTTGCGGTTGCGGTTGCAGGAGTTTGTGGAAACGGGCGGTTGCGGGAGTTTTATGACTGGTAAACCACCGGGTGCGATAGCAGTTAAATAAAAAATGACCAAAATAAATAAAAAATATTACAAAAAAAAAGAAATAAAAACACCAATATATTATTATGATAATATTAGAAAAAATGAACATGCTTAATAATTAAAACCATAAATAAAGTACTAAATAATTATTCAAAAATAAAGAAATTTTGTAACAAGATAGTACTTTATACATCTGGTTTAACATCAAAAATTGCATCAAGTAATGGGACAAACTGTAATAACGTTGAATTCAATCAAAAAGCAAGTGAGTTTCTATTCGAAAAAACAAATTGAAACATATATTCAATCAAAAAGCAAAGCAATACGTAATGAAAAGAAAAAAAAACGATGCCATGAAAAATATTCAAAAAGTTACACATGAGGTGATGAATGAATAAAAGGATATATGATACTTACGTTTGGTTATTGATTTTCATCAGTTTGGGTGAAAAACATTGAGAGAATAGGGTTTCAGAATATTATTAGTGTTTCTGATGAGAACCTGATACAAAGATGATACAACTCATCCCCTACCCACATACATTGGAATGGGATAAAACACATCTTCCGCTATCTTCAAGGTACGATTGACCTAGGATTATTCTATCCTAGACACTCTGCGTTTGGTCTAGTTGGTTTTGTAGATGCAAGATATTTATCGGATCCGCATAAATCTCGATCCCAAACTGGATACGTTTTCACAATCGGAGGAACTGCAATCTCGTGGCGTTCTCAGAAACAGACTTTGGTCGCCACCTCTTCAAACCATGCAGAAATGATGACGGTTTTCCCCGTAGTATTAATATAAAATTAGAAATTTAATGATGACGGTTGTCAGGGAAATCAAATCATTTGATTATCCGAGATCGGCGCAATAGCGTAAAACATAGAATAATTCCAGAGTGTTAAAGATCTCAATTCATTAATTACTGTTTACTTAAGTCTTCCAAGCCGAGCACTCAGCTCGCAAGACTTGGGGGGCTAAATGTTGGGGTCGGATCCCACACATCTTCGGTAGGATCCATTTGGATCTGTCCACGTCATTATTACATAATAATCCTCTTGGAATTAAAGATATTTTATTATAAGAATCGAGCTTAACCAGTCGGGAGTTCGATTCAGTTTACTAAAAGAGTTCGATCTTTACCAGTACGGAGTTCGCTCTTATTCAACATACAGTTCGCATAGAGAAAGGCCGAAGCAAGGAGATTATTGTTCGAGGCTCGCGGTAGCGTCAAGACGCGGGAGTTCGGAGTCAACAAGAAAGAGTTCGGAAGATCCACGCGAAGCCCAAGATAGTTCGAATTCAAGCCGTTTCGGTCAAATTGTAACTTACATGATTAATGCGGATCAATGCGATTATGAGCAGTAAATGACCGCATTGATCATGTTTTCTCTATAAAAACAACCTCAAACGCATGTATTTGGGGGGGACGAATCTTTTACTCATTACTTCTAAGCAATACAATATACTTTCTCTCATTATTACTTTCGCAAGGCATTTTGTACTTCGTTCTTGTCAAATTTCTTTACTCATTTTCTTGGTTAATTTTCCTTTCGAATTCTTATATTCATTTTGTTGATTTTACAAGAGTTTTTCTCCACTGAAATACTTAAAGACAATCGAGTGTGAATCCTACATCCACATCATTTACGAGATCTACAAAGATAAGATTATACTTATCTTTTCCACGGGGGGATTACGCTACTGTACTCTTTTTCCCTTGTCATGGTTTTTATCCCAGTGGGTTTTTCCATGATAATGTTTTTAACGAGGCAGTACGTAATTATGGATAATCAAGGGGGGAGTATTATGATTAAATTGGATAATGTCCCATGTGATTATCCATATACAACTTACTCCCTAAGTTCATTAACCTCTAAGTACTTGTTCACTAAGTAGCTTGGTCTCCAAGCTAATACTAGTATAAATAAGTCCTTCCTTTCATTGTAAATGAGACATACGCAAGACAATAATAAGTCGTCCACTTCAATACTCTCTAACGTCTCTCTTCTTCTTTCATTATTCTAATATTTCTTGTTTTAGTATTTTATTTAACAGTTACCAAATTCAATTTTGTTTTCGTAAAGAGGAAAAATACTGCACCAACCATACAAAAGCGACACACGGCTTTTTTCTTCATCATCATTCATCATCATTCACCAACCCACCACCTCCAACAACAAATTCACAGCTCTACAAGAGTCACCTAGACAAGTCAAGAGACAGAGAAAGTTCTGACAGAGATTTATGGCGGAAGCTAGCGGAGTGAAAAGGATGAAGCTAGGAAGCCAAGGCCTTGAGGTATCGGCGCAAGGCCTTGGTTGCATGGGCCTCTCTGGTCATTACGGTGCTCCGAAGCCGGAAACTGACGCCATCGCTCTCATCCACCACGCTATTCACTCCGGTGTCACTTTCCTTGACACCTCTGACATTTACGGTCCTGAAACCAACGAGGTTCTCCTTGGAAAGGTTCGATTTTTATGATTCCCGATCTTCGATTTGATCTTCGGTTTTAAAAGTTTGTTCTCTTTTGGGAAACAAAGAACGATTTAGAGATGGGAATTGGCCTTTGATTTCTTTGAGCTTCATAGCTGTAGAATTGATTTCAAAGTTTGGATTTTTCTCAGGCTCTGAAAGATGGAGTTAGAGAAAAAGTGGAACTTGCGACCAAATTTGGAGCTACTTATGCTGAGGGAAAGAGAGAGGTGAGAGGAGATCCTGAGTATGTAAGGGCTGCTTGTGAGGCTAGTTTAAAGAGGCTAGATATTGCCTGTATTGATCTTTATTATCAGCACCGTGTCGATACTCGTGTTCCTATCGAAATCACTGTAAGCTTCCTCTTGCAAATCCTCCTTCATGCTATAGTTTCAAAGTTTACAATTTGGTTAGTCTTAGTCTTTTACCCGTGTCCCTATCAAAATCACTGTAAGCCGCCTCTTTCCGAATCCTACTTAAAGGTTTTGAAACTTTCAAATGAAATGGAAGTTATATAGTTCACTACTCCAAGAGAACTCTCAGTGAGCTTCACATCTTGGCTTGGTATATCGGACTACTAAGGTCGAAGAAAATAGATTGGAGATGATGTTTTCTGCTTAGGTTATTACTCTTTCGAAGTTGCTAGCTTGTTGACAAAGAACAATGTCTGGTGAAATGATCTTTAATTGAGCGATTTTGAGGCTTTCTCATCTACTTTCCACCTACAAGTACTTTCACCTTTAGACTTATTAGCCATTTACTTTTTCCTCCCCTTTCCAATGTGAGATGTTTGGTGGTAATTAGTCCCTCAGTGATTGTTAGTCACTTAAGTAATTTAAGGAATTTTCTTATGAATAGACTGTTAGGGTCGGTTCTCAGTTCTACTTCCTGACCTTCATCGAAAGCCTCCTGAACATAACCATTTTTTTGTCTGTCAATTCCAAGATGGGAGAACTGAAGAAGCTGGTTGAAGAGGGTAAAATAAAGTACATTGGTTTGTCTGAAGCCTCTGCTTCAACTATCAGAAGAGCGCATGCTGTTCACCCAGTTACTGCCGTGCAGTTAGAATGGTCCTTGTGGACGAGAGATGTGGAAGAAGAAATCATTCCGACCTGCAGGTATTCAGGTTTCATCCTACTTTCCTGGTGCAATATCTATCAATCATGCAAATTCATATTCTCTTTCCTTCTTCAGGGAACTTGGGATTGGGATTGTTGCTTATAGTCCTCTAGGACGAGGTTTCTTTGCATCTGGACCCAAGCTTGTTGAGAACCTAGAAAAGGATGACTTCAGAAAGGCAAGTACATAGTCTTTGTGTATGACTTGTTTGATTGATGAACCTTAAATAACCTGTGGATAAATCAAATGACTTTATACAAACTCAATTATTGCAGGCTCTACCAAGATTCCAAGAGAAAAACTTAGACCACAACAAGATTGTTTATGAGAAGGTTTGTGCAATCTCGGAAAAGAAAGGATGCACTCCTGCACAGTTAGCTCTGGCATGGGTTCACCACCAGGGAGATGATGTTTGTCCCATCCCAGGAACCACTAAGATCGAAAACCTCAACCAAAACATTGGAGCTTTAGCAGTGAAACTCACACCCGAAGAGATGACTGAGCTTGAGGCCATTGCCCAACCAGGTGTTGTGAAAGGGGAAAGATACGGTAGCATGATACCCACTTTCAAGAACTCCGACACTCCACCGTTGTCTTCTTGGAAAGCCGCTTAAAGCCGGTTGAAGTTTCTATGGTTGTGGTGGTGCATCATGACATTGAAGTGGTCTAACTTATGTCAGTCAGATCAAGGTAATAAATGTGTTAATGAAAAAAAAATATAAAAATAAAATAAATAAAAATAAATAAATAAATGTGTTAATGCCTTGAAGAATAAATAATGTATAGAGTTCCCCAAGTGAAAACTTCAATTTACATTTCATACATTGTAACCAAACTCTAAAAAATAAGTATATGTTATTTTCGGTTTGGTTTAGTTAAACCGGGATTCGGGTGAACAATGGCTAGAAAGCCACTTTCTCGGAAAAAAAACGCTAGAATGCCACTGCTATAATATTGATTTTCTTTGACAATTTTTTTTAAATCAAAACAGAATGAAAAGTAGGCCTGGGCATTCGGTGAAAACCGAACAAACCGAACCGAACAAACCGACATTTTCGGTTTTCGGTTTGAGTTTTGTTTTGAGCTGCGAACCGATCGGCGAGATTTGAAATGGGCTTCGGTTTTCGGGTCGGTTCGGTTCGGCAACCCATAACCGAACGGTTTCTTCGGTTCCCTTCCAATCATCACAGATTTACCATAACCCCTGTGAAGATCTCGTCTGGAACTAAGATAGAAGATACGAGGATGATGGAGGTTAGATAATCGGCCACGATGAAATTTTAACTAAAACGCTAGGGTTATTGCGTTTGATGTTTATGCAAATATGGGCTTGTTTAATAAAATATGTGTTTGAGAATATTTGGGCCTGGCTTACTAATTGTTCACAGCCCACAAAATCAAAACCATTTTCCAATTTTTATTCCTTTTAGATTTTATCATCTTCTTCATCGTTGGTTTCCTCAATCTCATCCAATAATCTCTTTTTTTTTTTTTTTTTTTTTTTTTTTTCTTTCAGACATCCAATAATCTCTATTTCTCTAGATTATATCAAACCAAATCATGGTGGATCATTCGATCTCCCTTAATCGATTCTTCTTGATTCGCTCATGAGGCTTGGTTTCTTATAGCTTTTTGTAATAATATTCTAATCTTCTCACCTTTCTTCTTCCGATTTCTCCATTTTCAATCTCACCTCAATCCTCCATTTTTTTCCGATTGGTTTGACTTTGCCTCTTTTTCTGGATTTTTAGGTCAGATATTACCCATTGAAGAGGATGATTTTGCAGAGAAAGATCCTCGGTTAACCGAATAAACCGAGGAAAAATCAATTTCGGTTTATTTTCGGAATTAATTTTAAACCTAATAACCGAACCGAAAAAACCGAGTACCGAACCGAACCGAACCGAATTTTTGTTCGGTTCAATTCGGCAGAATTTTAGATAACCGAAGAAACCGAAAAACCGAATAAACCGAACCGATTAAACCGACTAAACCGAATGCCCAGGCCTAATGAAAAGTCTAAAAACCCTTACAAAAGATTAACAATTACAAACTCAACCTAGAATTCTCTATCACAACAACCAAACACTCCCTAATCAATATCTGATTATTCTCTCGCCAACTCTTCCTCTGCCGTAACCACCATGTCGTCTTCTTCAACCCCACATAGTCAGATCACAGAACACATCGTCCGTTTCAAAGCCAAAAACGACGCTTTAATTATTTCTTCTTTCGGATATTTTAAGTTCACCAGAGTTTCTTGTAGCTCCGCATCCACTTTTTTCCTTCCTTCCGCTAGCTTCTCCTCAACCTCCACCTGCAAAAACACAAAACAGCACACGATCGAATCGAATCCATTTCTGATTTTCTCGATCTGAGTTGAAATGTGTGTTTTTAATTATACATGAGTCTCCTTCTTCATTTGTTAAGCGGCAATCTCAGCCCTAGCCGCCACCGACGATGGAGCGAAAGAGGCAATTAGAACTACGGATTTGGCGGATGCCATAATCGAGTTAGCAGCCATGGACACTCAGACACAAAGCTTAGGACTTAGGAATGTTATATCTTCTCTTTGACAGACACAAATGTGAGAGAGAGAGAGAGAAGGCGAGAGAAGAGAAGAAGGAAGAAGCCTTCAGCAATCAATATAACTATGTTTAAGCTCTCAAAACTCTGCGGGATCTGCTCATGACGTCTAACTTCTCCTCTCGGCTAGACAGCTCGCCATCGTCGAGATTCTTCTCTGGCTTTATGAAGATGGAGAAAGAGGAAGAGAAGTGATGATTGAATGAACGCTATAGCTTGGAGACGAGAGTGAAACAGACTATGGAAGGAATTGGGAGATGAGAGAAGATTGATTAAGTCGATGTTTAGTGTGTTGAAGGTTGATGATTCAATTTCTTGATTCTTATCTGAAATTTTTTGTGATTTTGAGTCCTTTATTGATTTCGTACGACTGTATTTCATTAGGTACAACTGTATTTATTAGGTACAACTCAGATTTAATTATTCGGTCCAACTGAGTTAAACTAAGAAAAAACAAAAGTAAAAAAAAAAATAAAGTATTAAAATGTTTACAATTTAAAATGTTTTTAAATCATCCAATGTGCGGTAAATTGCATAGTTGCAGGCCCGACTAAAGTACACTTTTAGATTTGACGGCCGGATATACTCATAGTTGTCCAGTTGTACTCTCATATTCATAGTTGAATTTTGGCGATTTTTTCGTATTTGCAGTTGGACTATAATATAAATTATTAATTAGTAGTTGGACATGTGATTTGGGCATTAGCATATTACATAACATTATATGTGGTGCCGCATAAGGACAAGATCACTAAACCACCGGATTACACACCAAAAAGCGGAAGAAATCAAGAAACGCGGTTTCCATCAACCGGAGAAAACCGTCGCAATAGGACGAAGAACAAGGCTACGCCTGGGATAAACTTGGAAAATTGATTGCAAATTAGGGAATTTAATTTGTGTGTTTTGAATTTGTATTTCTCAGGTTTGTATGAACTATTCAACTAGTTCAACTTGGTTCAACTTATTGGATTAGATTAAAAACATGTATGTGTTTGTTTTCTTAGTGTCTTTTAATTTAATTAGTTAAACTAGTTCAAATGTCTGTTTTTTGTTTTCGTGGTAACATTTAATATAATTAGTTCAACTAAGTAAAGCTTAAATGTTTAAATTTGTTGATTTTTCAGAATTGATAATTTATTTAAACGTAAAATTATATATTAAATTCCCCAAAATATAAACAAACTATTTTGGATCAATACAATAAAAATTTAATAATTTCTAAGAAATAAATGTTGTTTCACATAAAATACCCCTTCTACTATAAGGAATACTTAGTATATGATCACCTTATATGAAGTAAAAATGGTGAAAACCAAGTTTTCACCAATGTATCATTATGAAAACTTTGGAAATGCAAAATAATTTAGATAAATTATGTGTCCAACTTGTAATTAGTTATCTACAGTCTCGTCCAACTACAAATTATGAAAATTGTGGAAAGTTCAACTATGATTACGATAGTACAACTGGACAACTGTGAGTATATTCCGCCGCAAAAAAACAAAAAAACTTTTTAGTGGGGTCCACATATTGAGTAAGTACAACATTAAATAAAAATTAAATGCTGAGCTTTTTTTTAGGCCCGCATGATGGGAGATTTTTTTTTTGAGTTTTCTTTTTTGCTTTTTAAATATTAAATAAAGAATAATTCATTAAAGATAAAATGGATATTACATTTATATACTGGCATAGAGACTCTAAAATGACATGCCTGATTCATTTTTCTGGTTTAGTGGCATTCTAGCAGCTGTCTCGTTATTTTCGGTCCAACACTTAAACAAGCGACCCAATTGGTCAATCATCATCTTCATCAACCCAACTTCACTCAATGCTGATGATGCAGTCTCAGCTCTTCTTCTCTCGATAAAAAGCATAAATCAAGGTGAAAGAAACCATTACCACCGTGGGTCGTTCGATTGCAACTAAATAATGTGAATCGTTTTGATACAACCCGGAATGAGTTATTGGGCTTTCGTGGGCCTCGTAGTTACTTCATAGATTAAGCCTTTTATGTTTTCTGTGTTTTAGTATATAAGCTAAGATCACTCTTGTAAAACATTATCACAAAGTTGATCAAACAAGTTAAGAGAGTGGCTTCTCTAATCAGCCAAATCTTCTCCCTCTTTCATTCACCTTTAACCCCAATTTCTTCTATTCTTCTCATCTCTTTCTGTTCTTTATTATCAGCTCCCTTCAAGGACTTATCACGTTTCCAGTTCAACAATGGAAGGTCTTCGAGAATGTGAGCGTCTCTTCGTCAATAAGGACCTCGTCGTGCGTCTCTCTCTCTCTCTATTCATCTATATATATTTGCTTATCTGTGTTGCAGACATTAAACGATATATAAAGGAAATGATGTGATGTGGTCATCTCAATTTAGGATTTTTCTTGTTTTTTTGTCTGCTACACTAAACCCTAAATGATCGATCCTCTTCAGTAGCTTAAGAATCTCCATGGTCAAAAAAGGCTTCTTTATTTTTCCCACTAATATCATTGTTGCTTTTTTTTATGTCTGGATTAGGAATTTTAGTTACCGATGGAGCAATTTGCACCAACCCTTTTTCTGATTTTAGTCTTTTTCACATGACAGGATGCTTCTGTCAAAATTTCCGGTAAAGATACATCAGCCAGTTCCAATGTCAAAAGGAAAGTTGAAACTCTCTTCTGTGTTATGAGAAAGAGAACTTGTAGGCACAACTCTGTCGATGATGATGATATGTTTCCGGATTTAGATAATAATGTAGAGATAGGTGATGGTGATGAGGATATACGAAATTGTCTGAGACCTGAAAGTGACTTCTGGTTTGAAAATCTTATGGATAATCCTTACGATCCTCTGGATGAGGGTTCCATTGTAGACGACAGTGGGAGTGACACAGACATATCTGAATCTTCAGAGTTTGATGTTATATCAGAACATGTTCTAGAAGACAATGATTTGATAACCGGATCGAAATCTTTGGCTATATGGTCCAGTGAGGATAAGGGAACTCTGGTTAGTAAGTGGTCTTTAGAAACTCGGAATTCTATGTTGTTGCTATCTACTGATGAGAATGATGTAAGGTCTAAAGAAGATGAGGTGTTATCATCTGTTTCTGCATCCCCAAAGGAATTACAGCATATCACTGATCCCCAAATTTTCTCTGGACATAGCAACGACAAATTTCTCTTCCATTCAGAACGGAAACAAGATCAAATGTCCTGTATCCCTGGGCTTTGTGGAGATATTTTGAGGTGTAGTGTCAGCAAAGAAGATCCAGAAATCCCATGCAATTCTGATATCTTCGAGAATGATTGCGACAAATCATCTGCAATTGAAGTTAGATGTGGAGATGTTGTCAACATGCAGGGGTCTATGGAGATAATGTGCATTAATGATGAGCTTACACTGTGGAATAAAGACGATGAACCAATACCGATCAGCATTGTTCCTCCTGATGGTTGGGAAAGCGCATTGCTAGAAACATGTTCACTTCATCAGATCGACAGATGTAGAAATGAATACAACGTTCATGATGATAATATTGGTCTTGAAATCTCTCCAATACCTTTAACAAAAACTCTTGAAAGACCTAGTAGGCCATGGTCAGTTTGTGGCTCTATAGCTGCAGTCAGAAACTTACCTCTAATGGAAGATAACTCAGGTGCTTGTAGTTCTTTGGATGAACAAGTATATGCAAATGCTAATAACTCTGAGGACAGGGACGCAGAACTTGCTCAAACCCCATCAACTCTATATCAGGAAGAAGTGGATGGAGAAGATGAGATTGACATTGATGCAATGGTAAACCCTGAATACTCTATACACAAGCATGTAACAAATTACCCTTCAATGTGTTTTCTGATCTCTGATATCACATGAAAACATCTCCAGATCCGCAAATTGAATCTAGTCCCAGATGATTCAGATTCATGCTTCAACAGGGAAGGTAAACCGTATGGCTTATGATGTCCAATCAATCATGTAACTAATTCACACTGTTGCATCCAACGAGAATGTAAAAAAAAACAGTTATGTCTCTCTCAAACTATAGTTGTCTCAATTATGGTTGGCTTCATGATACCTAGAATGGAACATGTCTAAGCACCCAAGACACGCCTTAATTGGATTGGAACACTGCACAAGAACTTCACTGCAAAGAGCAAATATGTTTCATGGGGCAATTGCCATTCTGCATTGTCGTGATTCAAAGCATTTTGTCAGAAAACGCGAGGTATGTTAGACAAATCATTTTCTTGTCTTGATGTTTTCATGTTGTATCAAGTCCTCTTAGTTACATGGCAGAAGGTCATTTATTTGTCATAGGTAATTATTGGGAGATCATCTGATGGCCTGAATGTGGACATTGACTTGGGTAAATATAATTATGGGAGTAAGATATCTCGGCGTCAGGTGATCCTCTTTCCCTTTCCCAAATTAAAATTACTTCACTAAAGAAGTTCTTAGTTACCACCTTGCTTGTAGTTGCTAATGTGCTATACTTTTATTTTTCCATATTTTTTACAAGGCATTGGTGAAGCTAGAGAACAACGGATCATTCTCTCTAAAGAACCTTGGAAAGCGACATATCCTTGTAAATGGAGAAAAAATCGTTACAGGACAGATTGCAACCCTCACCTCGTGTAGTTCAATCGATGTAAGCACGAGCTTATGCTTTGTACAAGTGTGTTTATGCATCTTTCTATCTATAACTAGAACTCCCAAATTTTGCAGATTAGAGGAATAACCTTTGTGTTCAAGATTAACAAAGAAGCAGTAGGACAATTCTTGAAGAACAACACACAGAGGAAGACCGAGGACAACAGTAAATTCAGATGGTGCGAATAGATTCTGTTAATACCTTTTGCTCTACTACTCTCTGCATAGTCTTAGTGACCCATCCGCACGATTTAAATGTCCCACCTGGCTTAGGGTTAGGAGTTTAGACACCTAATGGCTAATGCCAATGAATGAGTGATCATATCAATGTTAATGTCTTGAAGAATAAAATATGTATAAAGTTCCCCAAGTGAGAACTTCAGTTAACATTTCGTACATTTTAACCAATGTCTATTAGAAGATTTTTTCTGTAACTCTTACAAGCTAAAACCTTACGGTAACAAAAACTATCTGTTCATCCAACTCTATGAAGGATGTCGGATGTGCTGCGACGTATCGGTTCAATCTCTGTTCTTGATTTCTTCTTCCGCATTTTCCACTTCTTCCCTATAGATTTTTTTCTATAACTATGTTTCATACTTTCATCTGTCAGCTTCTATTCAATTACTTCTGCTTCTTCTATTACCAATTTAGAGTCTCAACAGTGAAGATCAGCTTCTTCTCTATCAACTTCTACTCAATAACTTGTGCTTCTCTTAACACTTTTTAGTGTCTCAGTGGTAGTAAATAATCCATCATCTTATTTTCGGTTTGATTAAACTTGATTGGTATATTTTGGTTTAGTTAACCAGGATTTGAGTGTTAAACTTAAATTTTGGTTCAATCATTCATCATCATCATCAGTCAAATCAAACCACTCCACTCAATTCAAAACTCTACGAGAGTGAGAGAGAAATCCATGGCGGAAGCTTGCAGAGTGAGGAGGATGAAGCTAGGAAGCCAAGGACTTGAGGTATCGGCGCAAGGCCTTGGTTGCATGGGACTCACCGGTCATTACGGTGCTTCTAAGCCTGAAACTGACGCCATCGCTGTCATCCACCACGCTATTCACTCCGGCGTTACTTTCCTTGACACCTCTGACATTTATGGTCCTGAAACTAATGAAATTCTCCTCGGAAAGGTTCGATTTTGTTAATTCCTGATATTTCAATTCGTTCTCTGTTGGAAAACTTAGAGATGGGAATTAGCCTTGATTTGTTTAAGCTTCTTAGCTTTAGAAATGATTATTCATTTGTTGGAAACTTCGAATTTTATCAGGCTCTGAAGGATGGTGTGAGGGAGAAAGTAGAGCTTGCGACCAAATTTGGAATAAGCTATGCAGAGGGAAAGAGAGAGATTAAGGGAGATCCTGCCTATGTTAGAGCTGCTTGTGAGGCGAGTTTAAAGAGGCTAGATGTATCCTGTATTGATCTTTATTATCAGCATCGGATCGATACTCGTGTCCCTATCGAAATCACTGTAAGCCTCCTCTTACTTTCAAATGAAATGGACGTTACTTATACTTCAGGTGGTCTTGAGTTTATATCAGTGAGCTTCACATCTTTGGCTTGGTATATGTTTGGAGATGATGTTTTCTGCTTAGGTTACTTTTCAGAAATTGCTAGCTTATTCATATAGAATCAATTTCTGGTTAAATTATCTCTTATCTACCACTTAAAAGCCACCTTGTGAGGATAGGGTGACCTATAGAGTTTAGACTTATAAGCCATTTACTTAGACACTTTTCCTTCCAATGTGGGATCTTATCATCTCCCATAACGATTGTTCGTTCAAATATACTCCTCTCTAGTTCGATTGCCATACTTCCTGACCTAGCTGTTTTGCTGAACTTAACAAATGTTTTGTCTGTCAATTCCAAGATGGGAGAACTAAAGAAGCTGGTTGCAGAGGGTAAAATAAAGTATATCGGTTTGTCTGAGGCCTCTGCCTCGACTATCAGAAGAGCGCATGCTGTTCAACCAATTACTGCCGTGCAGTTAGAATGGTCCTTGTGGACGAGAGACGTGGAAGAAGAAATCGTCCCAACCTGCAGGTATGCAGATTTCATCCTCCTTTCATGATGCATTAATCCATCAATCATGTAACGTCTTGTCTTCCTTTCTTCAGGGAACTTGGGATTGGGATTGTTTCTTACAGTCCTCTAGGACGAGGTTTCTTTGCATCAGGACCCAAGCTTGTTGATAACCTAGACAATAATGACTTCAGAAAGGCAAGTACGCAGCCTTTGTATGACTTGTTTGATTGATGAACCTTAAATAAGCTGTGGATAAATCAAATGACTTTATATATAAACTCAATTATTGCAGGCTTTACCAAGATTCCAACAGGAAAACTTAGACCACAACAAGATTCTCTATGAGAAGGTTTGCACAATGTCAGAGAAGAAAGGATGCACTCCAGGACAACTAGCCCTCGCATGGGTTCACCACCAAGGAGATGATGTTTGCCCCATCCCAGGAACAACGAAGATCGAAAACCTCAACCAGAACATTGGAGCCTTATCAGTGAAACTCACTCCAGAAGAGATGTCTGAGCTCGAGACCATTACCCAACCAGAGTCTGTGAAAGGAGAAAGATGCATGGCCACAGTGCCAACCTTCAAAAACTCTGACACTCCACCGTTGTCTTCTTGGAATGCTGAGTAAAACTGTCTCAGAGTTTTCTCTGGCCAAACCGATTGTTTAAAGAGTTTAAAAGTGGTTCTGGACAAAGGATGATTTATGACTTTATGTATAGAATACATTATTTTCTACCCATCTTATACACTGTGAGTCTGTGACCAGGTCTCTGCATAGTCTTAGTGATCCATCAGCATGATTTAAACGTCCCACCTGGCTTAGGGTTAGGAGTTTTAGACACCTAATGGCTAATGCCAATGAGTATTCCCATCATATTTGAACATTTTCGACTTCTTCCATTTAAAACTTAGTTAGAGCCAATGATTTGGAACCTGCCTACAAGACTTCCAAGTAGACTAACTATAGGTGACAAAAGATAAAACTTGCCACGTACAGTATTCTCAAAAAAAGAACACAAGTTGTAGATAAGAACATGAAGAGACCAAACACTACCTAATAATACAAAACTTGCCTACTCAAGAAGACATGACTCGTTGACTCAGGAGTCGAGACCATGAAAAAACCAAATAATCGATTACGTGAAGACTACTGAGCACAAATTGATGACACATCTTTGAAGATATATCACTCGAACACGTACGTATACATAGTAAGACTAGAAGAAAGATCTTTTGTAAAAGAAAGAGGCAATTTGAGAGTTTTTTAATCACACCACTCATCAACCTAACTTCAACAACTACTCCACTCAGTTCTATACTCTACAAAAGAGAGAAACAGAGAGAGTTGTGACAGAGATTCATGGCGGAAGCTTGCAGAGTGAGGAGGATGAAGCTAGGAAGCCAAGGCCTTGAGGTATCGGCACAAGGCCTTGGTTGCATGGCCCTCTCCGCTCGCTACGGTGCTCCGAAGCCGGAAACTGAAGCCATCGCTCTCCTCTACCATGCTATTAACTCCGGTGTTACTTTCTTTGACACCTCTGACATGTACGGTCCTGAGACCAACGAGTTGCTCCTAGGCAAGGTTCGATCTACGACTTTATCTTGTTTTATTCAAGAGATTTTCCAAGATATTTTGGTTTGTTCTCTTTTAGGAAACAAACTTAGACCACAACAAGATTTTGTATGAGAAAGGTTTGTTGAAATTCATTGTATTGTCAGGCTCTGAAAGATGGCTTGAAGGAGAAAGTGGAGCTTGCGACCAAATTTGGATTCTTTATAGTAGAGGGGGAAATTTCCGAGATAAGAGGAGATCCTGAGTATGTAAGGGCTGCGTGTGAGGCAAGTTTAAAGAGGCTAGATATTACCTGCATTGATCTCTATTATCAGCATCGTGCTGATACTCGTGTTCCTATCGAAATCACTGTAAGCCTCCTCTTTCATGCCATGGTTTCAATGTTTCCAAGTTATATAGTTCTGTCTTTGGCTCTGAAAATGATTGAACTAATAGTTTCTTTAATTTGTCTGTGAATTCCAAGATGGGACAACTGAAGAAGCTAGTAGAAGAAGGTAAAGTAAAGTATATCGGTTTGTCTGAAGCTTCAGCATCAACTATCAGAAGGGCACATGCTGTTCACCCGATAACCGCGGTGCAAATAGAATGGTCCTTATGGTCGAGAGACGCGGAAGAAGATATAATTCCTACCTGCAGGTGTGAAGAATCTTAAATACAACTTTCCTCATTGTTTACTTGTTTATTCCCATTTCCTTTATATTTCACCAGGGAACTTGGGATTGGAATTGTAGCTTATAGCCCTTTAGGAAGAGGCTTCTTAGCATCAGGTCCCAAGCTTGCTGAGAATCTGGAAGACGATGACTTCAGAAAGGCAACTACTGTTATTTGCATTTAAACACATGATTGATGAACCTTTGCTCATTTGTGTTTTCTTTATCGCAGACTCTACCAAGATTCCAACAAGAAAACTTAGACCACAACAAGATTCTCTTTGAGAAAGTATCTGCAATGTCTGCGAAGAAAGGATGCTCTCCCGCACAACTAGCCCTTGCATGGGTTCATCACCAGGGAGCTGATGTTTGCCCCATTCCAGGAACCACGAAGATCGAAAACCTCAACCAGAACATTGGAGCTTTATCAGTGAAACTTACTACCGAAGAGATGTCTGAGCTCGAGTCCCTTGCCCAACCAGAGTCTGTGCAAGGAGAAAGATATATGGCCTCAGTGTCCACCTTCAAGAACTCCGACACTCCACCGTTGTCTTCTTAGAAAGCCGCTTAAAACTGCATGAGAGTTTCTCTGGCCAAACCACAAAAAAAAACATGTTAAGAGTTTGTGTTCATGTTCAGGAGTCTACAAAAATAATATGTTAAGAGTGTGTGTTGAATGTTCAGAGTCTTCAATGTATAGTTTATATGCATCTTATAATCTGCGACCAACCTCTAAATCTAAAACATTACATCACCATTTCAACCATTAAGACAAATCTGTCTGAATTGAGAGAAACAGCTCATGGAAGGAGCCATACCATATGGCAGCTGATTTGAGGTTAAGTAAAATATGAAATGCCTCTGAAAACCAAACCTTACAAAGATGTGTTCTTGACACAAACTTATCTAAAACCTTACAGACACAGCTAATCTATACAACCAACTTTAACACGGATCTGTGCAACGAATTCATATCTTGGATTGACCGCCAAAGCATTTTGGCACCGGAAAAATAATCAGTTTTGGAGACGTGAAAGGATTTGCAAAAGGATTTTTGGCTAGCCTGCGGTTCAGTGTTAATATTAGCCGACAGCACAAAGGGTCCCCACAAGATCCTATCTTGTTCAATCTTGTGTTTTGCAAGAGGGTTTAGCAGTTGACAAAACCATCATCTTTCATCTAGGTCACGTTGAACAGCTGCCATTTACCGGAGGTTTCTTGTGCTAGTTCCTTTAGCATCAGTCAAAATCCAGTTTCCTCCCCCGTCAGTTTCTTGGCTCCTGCTTCAGATAGATGCTTGAGGGAATGCTATAAGATCTCGGCTGAGAGACAGACAGATAAAAACATTATTTTAACATCAAACGTGGTGTGAAGCAAACAATACAGTAAGGTTTTCCATCTTTCACCCAGATTTAAAGCAATGTTCTTGTACAAGATCACAGTTCTTTAAAATACTAGAAGCCGACTTTTGTGGGTTATGGAAGTCCTATTATTTGAAGCGATTAGACATTTTTTCATGAAACAAAGGCAGATTTGGTAGGGGAAGCATTTGAGGTTTTTAATCCCCTTAATATTCAGGAATATCCACGTTCAGAGAAAATGCAAGATTGCTTACCTGTGTTGTACTCACCATTAAACTGCTTGCAAGATCATTGTTAATTGAGACAGGCAGAGGCGGCATCCGGCTGATGATACCAGGCATCTCCTTCATGCTGCAGTAATGATAAGTAAGAGTATAGTAAATTAAGCTTTCATAGACGAGAAGGAGAAAGACGACAGAGGAAATGTATCATTAGTGATTCAACATGCTATTAGATCCACATACTCATTCAAGATGGCACTGATGTTATTTCTTGCCATATAAAACAGACTGACGTTATCCTGTGGCTGTATGCAGAAAATAGGATGTCAGGATGGGAATTCCATTACGAACGGACAGCGACATGTACCCCAACCAAACAATAAGTTGCATTGAATAAACATTGTGCATGTGAAAAGTATGATCTACTGTCTTTTTTTAGTCAATTTTCTGCTCATGCCAATCTTTTCCTACCAACTAGCATTTGGATCAGATACAAATCAATTACCTTGCACACAGAAAGGTTTGAAGAAATTTGGCTGAAAGCTTGAGCATTCTGCCTTAGACGCTCCATAACCGCATCACTTAGACCTAAGGTAAGAGTTTTGGAAAATATATGAGACCTAAAGATGTGACAGGTGAGAAAAAGGTATTTATCTAACTAAGGAGATGAGATAATAATTGAGAGAGTCCAGGAACTTTTCAACATCGATAATGCCTAGATTCAGGGATCAACAAGATGAACTACAAATTGACTAGTACATCTAATTGATATTTTGGACAATACAATATGCAATTTGTCTTTCTAAAATAATCCTTCTTTACAGTTATATCCTTTGCAGGAGAGAGAAGAAGGAAATAATACCAACAATACTGTTACGGTGTAACCCAAATAGTACTAACCTTCAAAAGGCATGCGTGCACTCTGGCACATATGGTTCATGGCATATGTAGCATTTTGTTGTGGGACAGTTGAGAACATGTTCAGTTTTGGGGGTAAATCCACCAACTAAATCATGAAGAAATCAGTTACTTGTGTGTTGGGTTTCTCAAGGAGAACAAGTTTGTTTGAACAAAAATCCATTTGCAGCCAATAACCTCTTGTAAAGAAAACTATAGCCTAGGCTATCTACAATCATCTGTTTATTTAGTAACATTACATACCTTTCTATAACTAACCTTCGTGCCGGGTACTATGTTCTTCCCCTTTTCTTCGTTTTTGCTGTAAAAACGGATTCCATTCTTAGCCCAGACAAACTCAAAGGTCATGAGTTTAAATAGTTGAAAGATAAAATAATAGCAAACTAGAGTTATTATTAATGTTAAAAAGGGGCAATGTCAGAACTTATGTTAGTATGAGTCATATATCTGCTTGTACAACTCAGGTCATAAAATATCTATCCATTTCTTCAGCCCAACTTCATAGAAGAAATATGACAGGATGGACAGTATGGATAAGCCGATAAGGTAATATTTGACACTATAATCTGTTAACTTCTTTTTCCAATTTTATTATGCGAGTCTAACACTACAGTGTAGGCCATACTGCAGACAATATAACCAATGTTTAATCATCGCTTCATAACTCAAGAGTCGGCCATATGAAATCTTATCTTTCATAAAAGGTAACATATCAAAATAAACTTCAGAAAGTCGAAAAAAGCCCAAGGATATCTGACATCACCTAATTGGCGATATTAGATTCAGAGTAACTACAGAAATCAAATCAAGCTTTAGGGTCAAATCAAGTTCCAACATGACTCCAGAGCTAATAGAAAGCCAGATCTATCGTCAGCAATACTTGTTATTCCTCCCCTTACACACTCTTAACCATACTTTAAACAACCTTTATCATATGGTAAGGTGTCTTTTCATCAATATAGCAATAGAACTTTAAGCCTACCTTATAGCCAAAAAAATATAAAAGAACTTTTCCCATAGGACTTTATCTTTAACAAAGCATACACCCAAAGTAGCATCACCATGTTGGTTCCCCTTTTTTCATCTCCCACGCAAAATGACGTACCAAATAACAAGAAATCTGCAAGACACTTACTGAAACTTAATGACAATGCATTAGAAACTTACCGTCATCCATTTACATCTCATTGCTACATCCCGTACACTTTTATCTGGTAGAGTTGCTGCGATCTTTACATACTTCGTAACTTGTGGTTCATCTTTAAATCTACAAATACATGACAAATGTTTCAGGAAAGCAAAATAAACAACAAAAGGTAATTAAACTCAGGCAGCTCTCCTAGAAAACTAAGAGTACAAAACTGATATATCTATAAGAAACTGAATCAGCTTATGAATTCGAGATAACAACATGTGCTATAACAGTTCATATGAAATATACATGTGAAACCTTTTCCTTTATCTACTCTAACATTGTGTAATAGCTACGAAGTAAGAAAATTTGCAGAGAACAAAGAACAATGAAGAATAACAAAAACACTTACTTTGCAAGACCTTTCTCCAATACATACTGTTCCTCAACAGACCAGTCGACAGCCAAAGAAGCTTCATGTTTGAGTCCAGTAACGGAAGTCGGAGAATTTACAGTAAGGTGAAATCCAGAGGAAGCATTCATGCTCGAATTCGCCGAAAATACTAAACCGGTCGTGCTAGTGCTCGGTACGCAATAATTATCCATCGGAATCATCACTCGAAAGCTTTTTCACAGCGGCTAAATTGACCTACAACGAAACACGCCCAAAAACATGCTCAATTTAGGGTTTTAGCAATTCAGAATCATACGGAAAGATGCGATCAAAACTCAACAGAAACCTAAAAGAGTAAAACTTGAGCAAAACCCACCTCGGATTTAGCTTAAAAAGAAGACGAGTATGCTTCTCCGGAGCTCTATAGATGTCGTCGATGCAAAACCCTAAACCTCCAACGATTGGTGATGCAAGTAGAGATTTTGAAATCGTGAAGCAACAAATTCAGAGAGATCGCAATAGAGCTGAAGAAGATTAAGAATCGTGATTCGATTCGCGAGAGAGTGATGACAGCAAGATGCGAAGAACTTTCGAATTGCAGAAGCTGGCGAGGAGAGAGAGAGAGAGAGAGAGAGAGAGAGAGAAATGGTGGTTTGGTTTTGTTGTTTTGTATTGGTTTATTCTTTAAGAAGCAGAACCACTTTTTATTCCATTGTGGTGGTTTTGCCTTTTTGTTTTGTCCACTCTTTGAAGAAAGATGGTTTGTTCCTGATTGTTTTTTTAATCTTTTACACAATTTTGTGAATTACACAGTCACCTACACTTTGGAACCTTTTTTTTTTAATCGATATTTATATTACAACAAGGTGTTAGAAATCCAGAAAGTTGAGTATCTATTTTCTTTCGTTTTTATAGGCAAAAGATGATTTCAATAATATGACATTTGTTATTAGATGTGTTACTTCACATGTTTATCATAGTGGTATTTAATGGTGATGATAAATAGTAGAAAAGCATAACAACAAAATGGATGTTGTGGACAAAACAGAGTAGACCACTTTATTTTGGGGCAAACAACAATCTGCCGTGGACCAAATTTATTTTTACGTAAAACAGATTGTAATTGGTTAACGACAGATTTTTTTTATTTTTCTCGGTTTGCATTACTACGAACTATAATTTATGAATGATAGATAAAAAGCGATCTAATCCACAAAAGAATTCGTCCGTTCCAGCCGCCGTAACCATTCGAACCTAAAATTATTGACGAGTAGAAACTAGAAGCATAACAAGTAAAATACATGACCATGACCAATCTGAACACAAGAAAACCGCATCAAAAGAGACAACTAGTAGAAAGGCTTTATCCCTAGTTCATGGATTTGGCTTTTGAAACCTTAGTCACAAGATTACTAAGCATTATTTAGAAGCTGTTTCTTTTTTACTCTGAAATTGCAATCGCCATCACTAGAGTAAGGTGTATAGTTTTTAGTCACATATGAGCCTTACTTATTAAAGAGTTAAAAAAGCAAACAAAATCAATTTCTTGTGCTGCTCCACAGAAAATCTGCATCTATATACACTTCCTACTCTAATTACATATCCAAAATGTGGTAAAAAACCATAAAAGAAGAGACTTTGTTCGAACCCATTAGAGGAATTTGATTTGAATCACTAGCAAGTAGCAACTTCTAATGAAGAAGACAAAGATAAATGTTGTGTTTTGACTTTTATGCCCCTCATTGTTCAAAAAAAAACCCTAAATTCAATCAATTGGGTCAGCAAACAGATCTAAATCCACCACCACACTCTCCAATTGTCTTCCAAGTAGAGAAAGATGATAGCTGTGATCGGATTGCTTCTGGGTTTTCTAGTTTCAGCATTGTTCTTAATCCAAGGCAAGCGAAGAAGATCAAACGACATTCAAGAGAAGAAGAGATCTAGTAACGAGCCTGTAGAAGTCGTAAGACCAAAAAGTTACAGCAAGAGTGAAATCGCAGAACATAACAAAAGGAACGATTGTTGGGTCATAATCAAAGATAGAGTCTATGATGTTACTTCTTATGTTGAAGAACATCCTGGTGGTGACGCCATTCTAGATCATGCTGGTGATGATTCTACTGATGGGTTCTTCGGACCACAACACGCCACTCGTGTTTTCGACATGATTGAGGATTTCTACATCGGAGAACTTCTTAAGTAAGCCAAAAAAAGTTTGCTTTTTTATTATCTTCTGATTGAAGATTTGAGATTGTAGAACCTTTTGTCTTGCTCTAGTGTATCTCTTTTTCTTCCATTGTATTGCCAAAGTTTCCCTCCTTTTCTGTTAATTTTTATCGCAAATCTCGAGTTTGTTCTGAATCTGCAAAGATGTGAGTGAGCTTAAAAGCTAAGCTCTGTTTCAAGTGGTCTAAGCTAAGCTCTGTTTCGAGTGTTCTAAATCCATCAATTTTGAGATAAATCTATTGAGTTTCTTGTGGGAAACAATTGGATCATAAGAACGTAACTATTTTACTGTAATGAAGAATCATAATATTCGACAAAAAAGCACAGCAGAGATCCAGAATTCGAGTTCTATCTGATATAGACCTAAATCCAAAAACAGAAGCATTGACCTCTGGTTAACCCAAACAAACTACCAACGTTCATATGACGAAGGTCGGCCTCCAGCTCGGCTAGGACGGTCATAAGGACCCAGTCTGCTTCTGTAGGGTCTTCCCTCATCACGTATCGGTCCCATAGCTCCATACCTATCACTTGTATCCCTTGCGTATCTGTCCCTGTCATAGCTTCTCTCTCTGCCGCGATATTCATTCTCAAGATGATGTTCAGGCATCCCATACCTATCACTCACAAAACGGTCTCCAGGTGGTGCGTATCTACATTGTTAATGCATCAAAAGGTCATGACTTTCCTTAACGTATACATGTTGGAACCATTTATTTAGACCAAAGATAAGAGCTACAAACCTCTCAAATGGATAGTGATCACGAGTCTCATACTTGTCTCCACTCTCAAAGCGGTCCCTGTAGCTATATCGTCCCCCATCTCGGTCACGGCGTCCATCCATGTAGCGGTCACGCTCACGCTCCCGCTCCAGCTCACGATCTCCATAGCGATCTCGGTGTCCATCTAATTCTCCAAGTCTAGAGCGCATCGCAAGGGAAACCCTGAACCGTCCTCGATCGCTACCAGTTGATGGGCAATCTCGAGCCCAATGACCAGGGCGTCCGCACTTAAAGCACTCATCCTCACTTCCCTTCCCTCGAGATGAGTAGCCTCCACCCTTATTTAAATGGTCTACATCATCTCCACCAACTTTGGGCTCAGCTTTGTTCACCGAGATGACCCTATCGCCCAACTCCTTCCCATGCATGTGCTTGATTGCATCATCAGCTCCTCGGCGATCAGTGAATGTAATAAACCCAAAACCACGTGGACGGCCAGTATCTTTCCCCACCATAATCTACAATTACACAAAGAAGACCAATAGTGTTATTAAAATGCATATTGAGCCAGGAACAGGATATATTACTAAGGATCATATGTTACATTAGAGTTAAAAAATAAGCAGATATATTACATTCCTATCTCTCATATAGGAGGTCCTAGAAGTGGCAAACTCAGAACATTTACAAGCAAACAGAAGACGGCAGCAAGATTCACAAATTTTACTTCATTTTAAGTCCTTAGAATCACACAACACAAAGTCAAATTACATCTGCATACTTGTAGAAATACTATTCCACAAGAAGTATCTCCACAGTCCACACCAATAATCCTAGCAAAACAACGTTGGAGATTAGCCTCTAGCCAACCATACTCTTAACCCTTGCAACAGACATATTACATCAAATCAGTTTCGCATTATCTAATGTTCCAACAACAAATCCACAGAAAATGCTTTTCCATGCTAATTCCACTAAAAAAGAAGACTAATATTCTGATCAAGACCATTATTGACCAGAAACTTATCATCTTGGTGTATTGATAGACTACTTAGAGATGCTTCCATGTGCCAATAACTGTACTTTTACAGTCACACCAACTAGCGGCTCATGGTGAATGAGTACAGGAAAACCATCTCAGTGACTACTAAAGCTGATACCACAAGCAAGAGAGTAAAAGATGGTTAGTCCTGATTGGTGTCAAAACCACTGAAAAGAGAGCTCGGCTGCTATATCCAACAAAACAAAGTGATGTCAAACCAAGGGTACTGCACAGATGTTGAGTCAAGAGCCAAGGCTAAGGGAACAGTATGAAAGTACAGTCCACAGAGAATGATCTGAATCAAAACTCTTGCACTTCCAAGCACAAGGCTCTCAAACAGATTTTCCGATCAAGAGAAGGTAGAAATTACTTCCTAAGAAAGCTCTACAAATTCCTCCACTGCATCCTTCAACAAGTCAAAAAACCTCACTATATGCATGTGCTCTTCAACAGAATTGATGATGGCCTCTTCGGTTCATCAAACAAAACTATCCTACAATCTGAGAGATATTATTCACTAAACACAAGTTCCAAAAAGGAGTCTCTGAGACTTCTGATCATAAGCAGCACAAGCAAAGAACGATACGAGACCTGACACTCAGTGATTTTCCCATAGCGGTCAAAAGTACTCTCAAGCTGTCTCTCTGTGACATCCCACGACAATCCTCCAACGAAGATTCTGCTCTCAAGATTTCCAACGTTTTCTCTATCTTTCATTGTGAAACTCTCACTGAAACCAAAAGAGAAACAACAAAAACGCATAAACATAGTTAGCACACAAAATCAAAATCAAGAAACCTTAAAGAACTCGTCCGTTTACAAAGAATCACCCAATTAAACAAGCGAAACTCCATCTCTTACTTAAACAAGTAAAACAAAAATCTATTGAAACTACGAATTGGGTAGAGAAACTTGCTGAAATCTGAGGTAAGAGAACGAAACCCTAGAAATCTTGATTTGATAAACCCTAATTACTCACCGCTAATCCAAAGGTCAGAACTTTCTGCGTTTTTGGTGATTGGTGATTGACAATGAAGTAACTGCAGAGGATGATTACCTTCAACTTAATTATATATGGGCTAAAATGTTGTGCATGAAATTACTAAAAAACCCTTAGCAAAGTTACTTAATTACGAAACTAACCTATAAACCCTAAAACCCTTCTCTTTAGTAAAGCTCTCTCCTTTTCAGTCTCCAAGCTCTCTTCTGCGGAACTTACGGTACGAAAGTCTCCTCTTTTCTATTCACACTAATCCGAAGTTTGGTCCTTTGCGATTGATTTGGAGGAGAATTTTGATTTCTAAATTTGGGTATTGTAGGTTTTGTCTCTGTAGAGTAGAAGCACGAAGAAAAAATGATAAAGAGACGATTTTACAAGCTTGAGCATGGTGATAAAGACAGTGGATCCGACTCATCTTGCTTCTCTTCTGATTCTGATCCTGAGACAGAGGAATCAGAAGAATCTGAAGAAGAAGACTCTGTTGCAGAAGTTTCTGAGGAAGATGAGGATTCAGGAGATGATGAATCCCCAGGTTTGCTTCTTCAATTGAACCATTATGTCTTTTAGTTCTCTTGTGATTGTACTTGATGAGAACCTTTGGAGAAGGTAAGTGACGATCTTTTCTTATTCTCTGTTATAGCTGCTGACGAAGACGCTGATGTTGAGGATGTTGATGATAACTCGGATGCTGATGACTATGGTGGGACATTGGAGAAGATGTCAATGAATCGTTATTTAGAAGAACCACCGGAAGAGGTGGAAGAGAACTATATTCTAGGTTGTATGATACAATCCAAATCGGTTTATAAATGCAGATATTGTCCAACCGTTGTTTGCTTGAATGAGAACACAATGCAAGCACATGTTTTATCAAAGGTAAATTACTTTTCTTTGAAGTAGAATGGTGTGTTTGGCCTTTTCGGAATTCATAAATTAGATGATAAGCACGAGCTTTGTTTTGAGCTTTTTCTTTTAGTTTATCAAAAAGTGTGTTTTTTTAAGTTTTGTTTTTCACTTTGACTCATTTCAGAAGCATGCCCGTATGGAGAAATTAGTGAAAGAAGGAAAGGTCAGAACCGATGATGAAGAAGGTGATGATGATCCAGAGACAGCATCTCAGGTGACATAAGAGAAAATGCCAACGAGTGCTTTCTGTTTTGTTGATGAGTCCTAACCAAATTCTTGCAAAAATCTTGAATGTAGGAGAAGCAGACTAAAGGAAACAGAAGATCACAAAGACAGGGAAAGAGATCCCATAAACAGGAAAAGGTAAACGTAGCTTGCTCGTTACTGTAACCTTGTGAGCATGGTTAGTCGGTTGAAAACCTTATCAATTGTTTTTTTAATATAAACATCCAGGGCTCATCAACCAAACATGAAGAAAGCGAAGAAGTTGACGATCCAGAGACGCCATCTCAGGTGACATTTAAGAAAATGCCAACAAATGCTTTGTGTTACTCCAATGAGTTCTAACCAAAGTCTTGCAAAACTCTTAAATGTAGGAGAAGCAGATAAAAGGAAACAGAAGAGCACAAAGAGAGCATAAGAGATCACAAAAACAGGAAAAGGTAAAATTTGCCTGCTCACTTCTGTAACCTTGTGACCATGGTTGGCCTGTCAAAACCCTTATTGATTCGTTTTTTAATATGAACGTCCAGGGTTTATCGACCAAACATGGAGAAAACAATGAGGTTGACAATCCAGAAACGCCATCTCAGGTTTTCTTTTTGACATTCGAGCAAATGCCAGCAAGTGCTTTGTGTTCTTCCGATGAGTCATAACTAAATTCTTGCAAAACTCCTAAATGTAGGAAAAGCAGATAAAAGAAAACAGTAGAGCACGAAGGCAGCGTAAGAGATTAGAAAAGCAGGGAAAGGTAAAAGTAGCCTGCTCATTACTGTAACCTTGTGACCATGGATGGTTTGTCAAAAACCTTATTGATTCTTCTTTTAATATGAACATCCAGGTTTCAATAACCAAACATGGAGAAAACGAAGAAGTTGAAGATCCAGAGATGCCATCACAGGTTTTGTTTTTGAATTCTAGCAAATGCAAACAAGTGCTTTATATTCTTCTGCTGAGTCTTAACCAAATTGTTGCAAAAATCATAAATGTAGGAGAAGCAGATAAAAGGAAACAGTAGATCACAGAAACAGCTTAAGAGATCAGAAAAACAGGAAAAGGTAAAGGTCACCTGCTCATAACTGTAACCTTGTAACCATGGTCGGTCTGTCAAAAACCTAATCGATTCATTCTTTCTTATGAATATCCAGAGTTCATTGACCAAGGTAGGAGAAAACGAAGATGCATCGCAAAAGTCTAGAAAGAAAAGACGTCAAACTAAGGATTGAAACCGGTGTATATCCAGCAATATGGTAGGCCAGAAAGATTCATCTTTCTTACTTGGATATTGATGGATAGATGAAGAAAAATAGGTTGAAACTGAGCTGATTGTGTGATTTTTAAACTTCCAAGTTTTGTCTACAAAGTATGGTGCTTGTTATAAACTGATATGATTTTGATTAATTGAGTTATACAATTCTGGTGTTTCTGTTTTGTGCAATTTCTCAACCATGGTTGTGTTTCTGTTTTCTTTGTCATTCGAACCATCGCCCTCGTACAGGATTAGACCTAGACTATTTCAAACATCATTACATTCTGTTTCACTGAAACCTTCTGGTACAGAATCAGTATTTATGATTCTTCTTTAAATCAAATATCATTTTACTTGAAACTATTTTGTTCCAATAGCATCAATGATCTCTGGCATTTCCCTCTAAAAATTTCTGTCACTTTTCTCTCCCCTAGTCAGCACTCAGCACTTGTTTTGAGAAAGTTCAAAGACTTTGAGTGAAAAAGACAAAAACTTTAATATTTTCTTCTCTTCTTTTAATCTTGGTCTCCACCATAAACAATTATTGTCTACATATCTGTGTAAAACAGTGGAAGTGTACACAAAAAATAATATTTATAAATGCATTGAAAAAGGAAACAAGTGAGACAAGTGAGATTTGATTAACTTCTCCCACTGCTCTTAAAGTATGAAGAAAGCATTGGCTTCACGTGACATCTTTGCTGTCATGTCCGTGATCGAGCTTCTTCATCGATGACATTTACAACTACTGATTCTATCATCACTTGTAAAAAATATCTTGATTCCATCATGATCTCTTCTTCTTCTTGTATGTTCTTCTTGATGTTTGCTTTCTTTTTTATTTTTCCGGTGAGATCAAGTGAGGTCGAAGCTCTACTGAGTTTGAAATCATCCACTGATCCTTCAAACTCAATTCCATGGCGAGGAACAGATCCTTGCAACTGGGAAGGAGTTAAGAAATGTATCAATGGAAGAGTCTCAAAGCTTGTTCTTGAGAATTTGAACCTCACTGGCTCACTCAACCACAAGAGTTTGAACCAATTGGATCAACTTAGAGTACTTAGTTTCAAAGGCAACTCTCTCTTTGGCTCAATCCCTAACCTCTCCTGTTTGGTTAACCTCAAATCTCTTTATCTCAATGATAATAACTTCTCCGGTGAGTTTCCTGAATCACTGACGTCTCTACACCGATTGAAAACCGTTGTTCTTTCGGGAAATCGGTTTTCCGGAAAGATTCCTACCTCGTTGCTCCGTCTTTCCCGCCTTTACACGCTTTACGTTCAGGACAATCTCTTCTCTGGTTCCATTCCTCCTCTCAACCAAGAAACTCTCAGATTCTTTAATGTCTCGAATAATAACCTCTCTGGCCATATCCCACTTACACAAGCTTTGAATCGGTTCAATGAGTCGTCGTTTACCGGTAACATTGCTCTCTGCGGTGATCAGATTCAAAACTCCTGCAATGACACAACCGGAATCACTTCAACTCCATCAGCAAAACCAGCAATCCCTGTAGCCAAAACGCGGAACAGAACAAAGCTCATCGGAATCATTTCCGGAAGCATTTGTGGCGGAATATTGATACTTCTTCTGACATTGCTTCTCATATGTTTTCTTTGGAGACGGCACCAAATCAAATCCAAGAGAGAAGAGAGGAGAAGCAAAGCCGTGGCAGAGTCAGAAGGAGCAAAGGCGGCTGAAACAGAGGAAGGTACCAGTGACCAGAAAAACAAAAGGTTCTCATGGGAGAAAGAAAGTGAAGAAGGATCAGTGGGGACTCTGGTTTTCTTGGGAAGAGACATCACGGTGATGAAATACACCATGGATGATCTACTCAAAGCTTCAGCGGAAACGTTGGGAAGAGGAACGTTAGGGAGCACTTACAAGGCGGTGATGGAGTCTGGATTCATCATCACTGTTAAGAGGCTCAAGGACGCGGGGTTTCCTCGAATGGATGAATTCAAGAGACACATTGAGATCCTAGGCAGGCTCAAGCACCCTAATCTGGTGCCTCTCAGAGCTTATTTCCAAGCCAAAGAAGAATGCTTGCTCGTTTACGATTACTTCCCCAATGGAAGTCTCTTCTCTCTTATCCATGGTATGTATTTTGCACACACACCATTGATTTTGGTTCTCTGAAGCTTGATGTATTTTATCTGTGTCTTGATTTTAGGAAGTAAAGTTTCCGGGAGTGGGAAGCCTCTTCACTGGACATCATGTTTGAAAATAGCAGAGGACTTGGCAATGGGCCTGGTCTACATTCATCAGAATCCTGGCTTAACGCATGGGAACTTGAAATCATCCAATGTTTTGTTAGGTCCAGACTTCGAGTCCTGCCTCACGGACTACGGCCTCAGCGATCTTCATGATCCTTACTCGGTTGAAGATACAAGTGCAGCCTCTCTCTTTAACAAAGCTCCTGAATGCAGAGACTTACGCAAGGCCTCAACACAACCCGCTGATGTTTATAGCTTTGGAGTCCTCCTTCTAGAGCTTCTAACAGGTAGAACTTCATTCAAGGACCTTGTTCATAAATACGGGTCTGATATCTCCACATGGGTGCGTGCGGTGAGAGAGGAAGAGACTGAATTAAGTGAGGAGATGAGTGCTTCTGAGGAGAAACTTCAGGCTCTTTTGAGCATCGCGACAGCTTGCGTGGCTGTTAAGCCGGAAAATCGTCCTGCGATGAGAGAGGTCTTGAAGATGGTGAAAGATGCAAGGGCTGAAGCAGCTCTGTTCTCATTTAACAGCAGTGATCATTCGCCTGGGAGATGGTCGGATACGATTCAGAGCTTGCCAAGGGAAGATCATATGAGCATCTAATTCAAGTTGTTGCAGCCTTCTCCATTGTTTTGATTTTTGAAGTAGCTAGGGGTTCATAATCTTATACTCTCTCGTATAATATATGCTTCCTAAATTGGATAATACCCACAATCACATTATCACAATGGTTGCTTAACAAAACTGAGTCTCTTTAATTAAGGAGAGGCTTACATGTCCTCTTCCACAGTTACAAATATATTTTCCTTAGACCGAGACATTCACTTGTTATTGATGGGCTCATTTTTTTTTTTCTATGAATGTAAATATCATTAAAAAATGAAAAGTTTAGGTATTACAAAAGAGCATTTTACCTACATATAATTGAGATCTTGGCAAAAAGAATAAAAACAAGGTAACAAATGATTTGGGTACAATATGAGAGCGCTTACTGTATTCCTAGAAGCATTAACTTTCGAAAATGCCTTTTTGTCTTCTTCAAATGGTGATGTTGCGGATTTTACGGTCAATGCTCTTATGATCGTATGAGTTATGACCTAGTTCATATGCACATCATTTCCTCTTAGCATCTGGGCAAATCTCGTTTTCCCACCAAAACCTTAAATGTTTCCTTTCGTCCCAAGAAAAAGTACCTTTTTTTTTAATAACTAAGAGGTTTTAGGCATAGGGTCGTACATCCCCTCGGGCTAGGTACCATAGCATTTTATATGGTCGCCTCCCAAATATCACTCGAATCGGCGACCTCTAGATTTTGCATGAGAGTCTTTAGTTTTTACCAATTGAACTATTGATACTTAATCTAACGGTCTTTAGTCGTGGGGAAAGACATCAAAACTAACTAATCTCACATCTGTTAATTAACCGCTTTTTGTTTGTATCATTAATTTATAAAACCAGGGCCGGCCCATGGCTAAAGCCCATGAAGCAAAGGCTTTAGGCATCAAATAATTATAAGTAGTTTTAGGGGCATCAATTTTAAAATTGTTATTGTGGTCTAGTGGTTAGTTTGAAGTCTTTTGTTGTACAGGTCACAGTTTCGAATCACAAACATGTTAAAACTTGTATTTTTTTTTTCTTATAACAGTTTTTGTTAATGGGCCAAATATTTTTTGCTTTAGGCACTCAAATAGTTTGGGCCGGCACTGTATAAAACAATTAAGAAAAAACAATAAGGGTGTTTCCATCGATTTCATTCAATAATCTTAATTAGAAGTTAGTCTGTCTAGTACTTTTGCTAGTAAAAATATTGTCATATAAATCTATGTATCATATGTTTTAAGACTTATTATCTAGATCTCTACATCATAACAAAAATAGGTGGAGTTTAGAGATCGGTATAGGATAAAGTGCATATGAAACAATTAAAGTTTTCCGGATTCAATTACCAAATGTCAAAATATACCTCTAACTATGATTTAAAAAACAAAATGTCTATAAAGACCACACCATACAAGAAGCTTAAGCTATGCATGGTAACACATAAATTTATAATTTATTAAAATATATAATAAATAATTCCAGGTTACAAATAAAAAAAGGAAAGAATCTTACAATAATTAAAATTTGAATTAACAATATCATATCAATAATATAAATTAATAAAAACATATTTGATAGAAAATGATTAAGACATATGAAGACATTAATAACCTGGATGTTGTTCACGATGACAACGTGTAGAAATTTCACAACCCCGATGGTAAGGGTTGACTGGTTCTTTGACACATTCTTTGGGGTTCTTACTGCCACAAGCTGGAATTCTGTCTTTTCTCATATCTCCATAGTTTATATATTTGCTTCCTTCTCCAAATCCGCTGAACAATGATAATATAATCATTATTGAAACAAAGAAAATACTGGTAAGACTCATTTTGTGTGCAGCCATTGTTTAGAAAGAAAAAAAAACAATGTATTTGAATCTTCTTGATCTTTTTTCTGTGTTATTATATTTTGTAATTTGAATAGGTGATTAATTTTTAATTTATGTTTTATTGATTTATAATGAGGGAAATGATTCTAAAAAAAGATGGCCAGTGCATAGTGTATGTGTGTATGTAGACTTTACTGGCTATTTATATGTCATTTCGGTTTTTTTGTTTCATTAACAGGAATCTTCACTTCAAAATAGAAATATTTACAATGGGTTTCTAGTATGATTTCAGTTTTAATTTGCTCAACAAACTAAGAGCAATTTATAATAAAAATTTAGAATATTATTTGAGTTGTCGCGTAACTAAATTTTATTTTGTAACAAAATATGTTAAGTGGGCATATTTTTGAGAGTATGAAGGAAAGTGGACATACACATAACAAAATATGAGAATGATTAGACAGTAGAGGGAGACAGTAATGATTAGAGATTAAATATTTGAAATTTACCAAATTGCTTTGCAGCCATGCCGTTATGGCAACATTAAACTTGTAATCGAAAAATAGTGTGTTATGACAAAAATAAAATAAAATAGAACAACAATTTGCTTGAGTTAGTGCATGATTCATATACTACTTCATTTCAATAAAATCGAAAAATTTGTTTTCTATTTTCCAAATATAAAATTAATATATATATATATATATATAAGTATTTAACTTAAACTAAAAGAAAATAAGACCAAGTTAATCAACTAACAAATGTTTATTGTCAATTATATTCTGGTTGTAGCCCGGACTAATCCCTAGTGTAACAATAAATTTTGATACTGTCATCTCAATATCTTGGTTCATACTCGTATATTGCATATTGTAGACAAAAGTCATTATTTTCGAACCATTGAAATTAATTTTGGCATTAAGGTGGTTAATGTACTAGCAACTATTATGTGGTGACTTCAAGTTTGTTCAACATAGGATTAACTAATGTTACTTGTAATTACAAGACAAGAGTACCATCTAAACAAAGTTTTACACCCATATTTAGACCCAAGCAATCAGTCAGATTCCTTAGTTACCATTTACACTCATATTGGCCAAAGTTTCCTCTTTTAAGTCATAGGCACGGGCCTACGGGTTATCTGTGCGTGAAGCTCTACAAAGTCGGAAATCATTCAATTTATCTGTCAACCTCGTTTCAGTGGCGAGGAACAGATATCTGCAACTGTGAAGGAGTTAAGGAATGCATGAAGGGAAGAGTCTCAAAGCTTGTGTCTTTGCATAGAAGATATTCTCGTAGATATGTTAGAGAATGTGATGTGCATGGTTCGCATTCGCTTTAAACTTAACTTGATTTTATATCAAGAGTTTCGTGTATATATGTGTTGTCGTGTTGTCGTTAGTGTAGTGTTTTTTTTTTTTTGTTGTAAGAATTGCTTTGTTCTGTTTCTCACTCTGTTCAGTGCTTAAGAATGAATGTGTATGTACGTAAGGCCATATACTCTTCAACGTTCGCATGAGATACTTGCCCCCAACGTACACATAAATTCTAATTTGAACTGAGCCAAGCCGAAACTAAGTATAACTTTCAATGTTCTTCGTATTAACTTCGATACAAAACCCAAAACTGAACTAAACCAAACCGGAACCAAGCCGGTAGAGCTAAACCAATTAAATATCTTTTCAGGAGAGTTCAGAGATTACTCTTTCACATTTATCTTCTAAAATCTTCACTGCTTCGTTGAAAAGAACGTCCGGAGGCTGTGATCCGGTGGACTCAATCGTAACTGAGAAGGACAATAAGAAACTCAATTAGAAATTCTTTCAGATCATGAATTGCCAGGTTGAAGGAACAGGTTTTTTTTTCTTTTTCTTTTCTTACATATAAAATGGTTCTTGACACGGCGCAGATCCACTTGTTTTGCCCATTCCACTCCTTCTCTTATGCATTCTCTACACAACGAACAATCACGCGGCCGAGCTACCGTTGCCCTCTTCCTACCTGTTTTCCACTTTTGCAAGTCAAATCAATTTGCAGCCAAAGTTCTCAGGTTTCATCAGAATCTCTAGTTGTTACTCAAAAGTAAGAAGATTTGAAGATTTTGAAGGAAACTTGGGAAGGCTTTTACTTCACCTTGGCCCATGTCTTCAATGTCAAAAACTTTCTTGGGGCAAACGTTTACTAGTTCTTCGGCATGTCTACCCTCAAATTCCTTTAGTAGAATCACCTAAGATATTATAAACAAAAAGCATTACTGGAAAAGCTTAGGACGAGTCAAGAAAAAATTAACTCTTTTTCCCAGAAGGCTTACGGTGAACTTCTCACCTCAGGAAGCATTCGGTACCAAGCCGTTGCAACTGGGGACCACTTTGCATGTGTTTTACCAATGCCCTTCACCGCATGAGCTTCAAGCTCGATTTCCTGCAAGAAAAAGAGAGAAAAAGATGCAAGTCTTTCATCTCTCATAGCAAGTAAAGTCCTCTCAAGTGTCACAAATAAGAGGAAGAGTGTAAATAGAAACAATACCTGACCAGGGCCGAGTTTTGCTATCAAGATATCTTGAAAGCTTGGCATGATTGGATTGTTTGCAAATTCAGGGAAGGAATCTTGGCTATGGCTGAATGAAGTGTAAGTTTTTGGCTTTGTGGTTGACCCTCCAGATTCTTTGACAAGCTCACTTCCATTTGGTAACCATTTCAATTCGCTTGTTAAGACTTCAAGACATAAAAAATAACACCTTTCATGAGAGATCGAGCTAACAATAAAACAAAGACTCTTCTTATGCTAACCAAAGAACAAATATTACCTTTACGACGCGGGTCACCTTTTGGACATTTTACATGGAGTTTGAAAACAATGGTGTTCTTTTCATTTGGCTGATCGTTTTCTATGCGCGGAGATAAAAGAAAAAATTAAGCATGACACAGAGAATTATATGCTTAATGAGATGGATCAAATGCCACTGAATATTTCTTACCGGATAAATATTCAAAGAGCCTCGGATCTGCGGCAATTGGAATAAGACCCAACCTGTGAGCAAGAACTTCGTCTTGTATAACCGACGTGTTGTTTGCTACAAACACTTTTTCAATAGCCATTGAAGGAAGCTGCAACAAATGAACACTTATAACCAAAGACTCTAATAATCAGGGATTCATCAGAGGTTGTGAGACAGTGGACAGACCTCAGCTAGGAGGATTCTTCGGAAAGCATTAGCAATTCCTGCAGGGACACCAATCATATCGAAAACCATATCTGTCTCTGTAAGACTAATCACATCAACTTTGAAATCCTCAGAGAAGTTTTCTAGTCTTACACTGTTGTCCACTCCCATAGAGGCATAGGCACCCGAGTAAAGGACACTCGTAGGCTACAAAGAAACACAAACACAAAGAACATTCAAGACTTCAAATTTCAAACAATCATCACTCAATATCATTCGGATTTCGACAAAACTACCAAACCCACAGTGTAATCTTCTTAAACTGCTAAGACCAAACTCATCAAATTCACAGCTTTCTACAGGAAAGTTTTAAACTTTACTCTATAATTCTACACGAAATCGATGAACACAGCAAACCCACATGGCACACAATGAGAAAAGCCAATAAATTTCTAGCCAACAATACATATAGCTTAAAAAGAGTGTAGAATTGATCGAGAATAGTTCTTACATGAATAGGAGCATCATTCTTACAGACAGCGCGAGTTCGCTGGAGCTCAAGATGCGGAGGAAGTCCGGTAGGGACGTCAGGGAGATTAAATATGTTGAAATTCTTGGCGAATTGCTTTTCTGCTTTAGTCACCATCCTTGTCTAGCTCTACAGCAGAACTAGGGTTTATCAAATTGAGAAGGGTTTAACAAAGGAAACCACAGGGAATGAGAAAAGTAGTATTAGGTTAAAAAAGTGAAGTCGAAGAAGCTTACCTGTGGCTGAGATATTGAGCAATTTTGAGAGAAAGAGAGAGTTGGCGGCGGCGAGGAGATGAACAACAAACGGCGAAGGGTTTTGAAAAAGCCGCCGTTTTTTCAAAAAGTGATTGGTTCCAAAAAAGTGATTGGTTCCACTATCTACCAACGAATTCAAAAGGAAAAGACGGCTTCACCACCGGAATGGGCTCTTAGCGACGGCGATGGGGTTGAGAACTAGGGATTATTTTGCCTTCCTTTTCTTCATTTTTTGACCAATCAGCGCTCGCCACGTTAGCATATCTTAGCTGCTCTAAAACATCTTAATTAAGATACAGATCTTAGCAATTGTTTGGTTTTTTGATTAATTTTAATTATTTTTAGAGTTAAGATTTTCTTACGATCTTCATATTTCACACCGTTGGAGCTGCTCTTAGATTTTCCAAATTTTACTAAATTTCACCACAAAAGTGTACAAATCAAAATGCTCTGTATCAAATTTCTGAACTAACAAAAATAATATCACCATAAATCGAACCAAATCAAATCGAGGTTTTTTTTTTAATCTTAGTTTGAAGTTTCGATTTCTAATCTAAACCGATCTGAATAATCCATAATTTTCCAAAGTTAAGCTAGTTACACCCATAACAGTAAATAACAATGTTCGCAATGTTTTTTTTCTTTATATTCCATATCCATAAAAATGACTAAATGGGCCAAGAAAAGAAAAAAAAATTGAACTAAGAAAAACAAAACAAAACAAAACAGAACAAGAACCACGAAAGTAGATAAACTAACCAATAAAAAGATTAACCACGAATTCACATTTGATTTCAAATTTAGTTTAATCCATTAAAAAAAAAAGACTAAACCGGACCATACAGGTTTTTTTGAGACCGTCCATCTCAGAATCTCTACGTGGAGTCCAGGATGTCAAATAGAATTGGGTCCATATCGTAATTAACAAACAAATTAGTGTTGCCCATTTTAAAAGTTTGAAATTTTCTTAATGATTTGGTCAAAAAAAAAATAGAAGAGGAGAAAAAGGACAAAGGAAAAATGGAGAAAAGTAGAGTAAAATGGCGTCACCAGAGAGGCACAACTCACGGGGAAAATCAGCAGAACCAATACCACCGCCACCGGTTACTATTATTATTCTTGTTTTCATCATCACCCAACATTTTTATTTCTTTTTTTTAAAATATATTTTCGAATTTTTCTCTCTTTTCAAGATTTTTTTTTTTTATAATATCGATTTTGCCACCCAACTTCTCCCACTCCTTCACCACTGTGTCCTCCTGCTGCTTTCTCACCTCTCCATCATTCATTTCTTTCGTTCTTTTTTTCTTTCATCCGTTTCTTTTATTCTTCTTTCCCATCTTTTGAATTAAATTATTGGATATTGCTGTTTCTCTGCGTTTCTTTCAACAAACCCATTTTCTTCTCTTCTTCTTAAGATTCTGAATCTTCAATTGATTAAGCTTTTCTTCGACTTCTTGATTTTACAGGTTTTTTTTTTTTTTCTGACTATAACTGATGAAAAGAATCAAACCTTTTTTTTGTGTCGCTGTGATGATGATTTCTTGTGTGTATGTAGGATCTCAAGGAAGCTTTTGTTTAATTTCTGTCTGTAAATCGGATTTATTTTTTTGATGGGCAATCTCTAAGAGGAGTTACTATGTTCTCTTAGCTTCTCTTACAAGATCTTTTGGGTATGTCTTGTTCTTTGAAGTTGCTATCTTTCTTCCATGTTCCAGAGATTTGCCTTATTTTCTTTTACCTGTTTTTGTTACTTGGTTTAATATTCAGATGAATCTTTGACCATCATATTGGTTCTTGGGCAAGATCAAAGAAAGTTCATCAAATAGGCAAACTTGATTCTCCAGACATCTCTTTAGATTTGTTTGACCATATAAATTTACTAGAGTTCCTGTCTGGGTGTTGTTTATCAAGAATCAATCAATTCCTATTTGTTAGTATCTGTAATATATCTGAGGCCTTGATCATGAACCATAGTTTCCTCAAAGATCTCAACTTTGTCTCTAGTTGGATTGTAATTTGTATTGCTTAGGACAGTTAAATCTTATTACATCTTGGCTCTTCATGTCAAAAGCTGAAGAAATATGAGCTTTCAACTAATTAGTTTCATTTGTCTGCAGGTTTCTTACTGTAATTCTTGTGAAAGTTCAATACTTTACGGTTAATATACGCACAAAACGGTTAAGCTCTAGAGAAGATGTTGGGAGGCAACAATGAGAACCCTGTGCCGCAGGTTCTAATGAACGATAGCCAGTTTCAGTATCAAACAAGCACATCGTTGAATCAGCTTCACTTGCTCGGGACGAGTAAGTTTTTGAATGTTAATCATTTGGTTTGAATGTTGTTAGAAATTTATAGAGCTAAAGCTTGTTCCTTTGTATGTGGAATGTGGTTGCAGTGAGAGCTGGTTGTACTATTGATCCCGTAAACTACTTTGCTAATGATAACCTTGCTCCTATGATTCGGCATAATAGCAAACGCGGAAGGGAAACCGAAATCAACAATAATATGCAGAGACAGCAGAAGCTGCAGATCTCTTTGAATTATAACTACAACAACAATAGTGTTGTTCAAGATGAAGTCCCAAAACAGAACTTAGTGTCAACTGGTCTGAGACTATCTTATGACGATGATGAGCGCAACTCTTCTGTAACTTCGGCAAATGGAAGTATCACAACTCCAGTCTTTCAGTCACTCGGTGACAATATCAGATTGGACCTCGATAGACAGAAAGACGAGCTTGATCAATTTATCAAATTCCGGGTACCAATTCTATCTCTAAAGCTTATGTTGTTGCCTATATATCCCATGTCGTTGAGATTGTACTCTCTTGAAACAGGCAGATCAAATGGCGAAAGGTGTGAGAGATATAAAACAGAGACATGTCACGTCCTTTGTCACGGCCTTAGAGAAGGATGTGAGTAAGAAGCTTCAAGAGAAAGACCAGGAGATTGAAAGCATGAACAAGAAGAACCGGGAACTTGTGGATAAGATAAAACAAGTGGCAGTGGAAGCTCAGAACTGGCATTACAAAGCAAAGTACAATGAATCTGTGGTTAATGCCTTAAAGGTAAACTTGCAACAAGTGATGTCACATGGAAACGACAACAATGCAGCAGGAGTAGTAGCTGATCATCATCAAATGAAAGAAGGGTTTGGGGATAGTGAGATTGATGACGAGGCAGCCTCATACAACTACTTGAACATCCCGGGGATACCAAGTGCTGGGATGAGATGTAAGTCGTGTAACGTAAAGGATGTTTCGGTCTTGCTCGTGCCGTGTAGGCACTTGAGTTTGTGTAAAGACTGTGATGTGTTTACTGGTGTTTGTCCTGTTTGCCAGTCTTTGAAAACTTCTAGCGTTCAGGTCTTCTTCTCCTGAGTTGTCTTTATACTGTTGAAAAGTTAATGATGGAGAAACATGAACATATTTTGTATGTGATGATGACGATGATGAGCTCAAGATGAAAAACTTGCTCGAGTCTTTCTTTGCTTTGCCATTAAACCTATTTAAGCATGATTCTTCTATTTCGTAGTTATTAAAGCAGCCGTTCTTTGAACCCGAGATACTAATTGAGTTCCGTGTGCGATATATCAAAGCTGTGGATTTCGTTGCTAGAAGAAATCAAACATGTTTTGGGTTTTGGCTGATTTCTTTTTTCTTAATATTTTTTCTGCAAAACTTCTTTCCCAAGTAAGGTTATTTATGTACTAAATCATACTTCTATCCAACGGATATAGTTTTGTCCAAAAAAGACCTAAGATCATGTCACTTTCATACCCGGATTGTTTTTCTAAGACCATATGCATCGCCAAAACACATCAGGTGTTCTAAAAGTATTAAATTAATAAAAGGCTTGAACAGTATAAGACAAGAATTGTGTTCCTCCCCGAGAACTGTTCTTAAGGTGTTCTAAGAGTATTATGAGCACGTGTCTTTTGTGTAGTAGTCCTTTTTTTTTCTTCTTTTTTCTTTCTTTTTTTTCTTCTCTCTCTTCTTAATAAAATAATGTTAAGAACACAAATCAGTATTTTGGCGATGCATATGCGCTAAGTAAATTTACCTCCAAAAAAAATTCATAACCATCCTAAAATATTCATTACATAGACTTAAAAATAAAAGAAATTTTTTTTTATTTCAAGACTTGTTTATAAAAGATTTACAATGAGATATTATAATCAGTAATTATAATCAACATAACAACATTACAAAATTCAATAAAAAATAAAGTAGCAAGAACTAATCTTACCTTCGTACTAAAAATAGACTATAGAATAAGGTCTTCACATGGTAAAACTCATTGTTGTCTTGTATTTAATTTATTTGACGTGTACTTTTTTCTAATCTCTTTGTAGGCAATAGTAATACATGTTAGTTTTCTTGCATTCATATGTCGTTGACAACATCCTTGAGTGCAGTTTCCTGAAATGATAGAAGTTAGTTAAGATTAAAAGTATGATCTTGCCAAACTTTGAAAACAAAGAAAAAATGATCGCCAATAATCTTTGATTCATTCATCTATAAAAAAACACCGTTCGAATCATATTTTGTGCATTTACCCAGAATGACTTGTGCATTAGTCTTCATCAACTTGGAGTATTGCGAGGAGTTGGAAGACCATAGAACGATGGGTTATTTTGGTTTTATTCTTAAAAATCATTATTAATATTTCATAAGGTTTTATTTATAAAAATAATATAAGAAATCTCTAATAAGTCTTCAACATGTAATAAAAAAAAAAGATAATGCGATATGAATTCACATGGTTCCGTTCTTAGCATATTGTACCCATATGGCACAAGATATTGCAAGAAAACACTACTTATGTGTTGCTTTTTGCATCGCTTGGTATATGAATGTTTTTTTTTTCTTTTTTGACATCATGTGAATGTCTTCTTCTTAAAACTTGTATGTTTGAAAAAAGTTAATAAAATTGTTGATTAAGTCAAAAGTAAAACCAAGTTTATCTTCATATGAGTAAAAGAGGGTGGACTATAATCAAGTCTAATTCATCATTTAGATGATTTGGAAACAACACCATATCTCCAGTTCATGAAAAATGAAGAGAAACTTTATAGATTAAATAGAATACTCCTAATAGCCTTGTTGCTACCAGCTGATAACACATATTTGGATAACTCACAAGCAAAACTAAAAGAAATTAAAATAAAAATCATATAAACTTAAAACACCACATTTTAAGCTTGCGTTGATGTGTTCTATATAATTTTCTTAGAATTTTTGCATCTAATTCAATTCTAGTCAAAATAACATATCTTAAGTAAAAGACCTAATTCATAAAATAGTAACTATAAGTATATACCCTTTTAAAATTAAATAAAGCTAGAGAGATCTATGAGATATAAACTTAATTGATCATCTTATAATTTTCTGCGTTGTTTATCAACAAACTTATCTACAAATTTTTATTTCTAATGAAAGTTCTGAAACGAAATGTGTCTTTACTCAGTTTGGATTTGAGGCAAAACAGATATTTTGGATATTGTGATAAAATATAGTTGCCAATCAAGCCATACACACATCTAAATAGTAATTCTTATTTTTCGGAATTAATATTAATTTGGTTTAATTATCAATTGATGTCAACATTGTTTAATTTGTAAATAACTGCAAATATAGTTTACTTTGTAGTGTGTACTAATCAACCCCTCAAAATATTGGGCCTTCAAGGCCCATCTTCTACTTGTATTAAAAATTGGTCAAAGACACGTGAACCTCACGTGATTTTATCTTCCAACAAGAGCTTGTGTTATCCACTTCATCATCCCTGTCTCTTCCGCAAAACCCAACATTCAAATTCTTGTCTGAATAAACAAATCCAAACATTGGCATTGCATAGATTCCTTCAAAAATCCTCTGACTCTGATTCTAATTCTGATTCTAGTCACTCAATTTTGACTGTATATTGGCATAATTCGGACACGTTTTTGTATAGAGTTCATTGAGTGATTTTGTTATGATTACGTAGTGGGTTTGATCTGATTCCAATTCCGTCGCTGATAATGCCCTCTTCGAAAGATTCGTGTTAAAAGGTAAAGTTTTAAACTTTATATTTGTCTTTCTTCATCTTACTCATTTTTCATTGTCTCTGATTTATGCCAGAACAAAGATTTTAGTTATAGGGTTCTCGGACTTTTAACTCGGAAGTAGTGTTCTTGCTCGGTTAACTGAAAATCTTTCTTCTTGTTATGCAGAGACCTGAAAATGATGAATTTTGTTTCTCTCTGTGACATAAATTATGGGTTTGTGCCCAAAAAGTCAACTGATTTGTTTGTGAAACAGAAAATTCACAAGGTAGGCTTAGTGCTTCATCCAAAGCTTTGTTCTTTGACAAGAATCTTTCTGTTGATGTTGATGTTGATGATGAATTCATCTACTTTGTACTTTCACTAAAATTACTTAGCTTAGCTTCCCAGCAGAGGAGATGTAATCACAAGATTACCGGTGTTTAGTTCAAATGCATGGGAGAATCTGAATGCTAAAACAAGAAGTAACCTTAAAGTTGGGCCAATCTTTTGTAAGAGTTATGGAGATACATCAAAAGTTTACCAAGAAGAGGAAATTCCCAGAGAAAAATTGATATGGAGAGCAATCAAACTACCAATGTACTCTGTCGCTTTAGTTCCTCTTACCGTACGTTTCCTCAATAAACCATTTCTATGTCCTCCATTGCCTTTATATGCTATTGAGTATTCACAGTTAAAATGTCACAGGTTGGCGCTTCAGCGGCATATTTAGAGACGGGTTTGTTCCTAGCTAGACGTTATGTTACTCTAATGCTCTTATCAATTCTTATCATTACTTGGCTCAACCTAAGGTGATTGATTGATTCCTGTTAACATTTTCGTTGAATGTATTAGCTAACTCTTTCATGTATTTACTCTTTCCAAACATGGCTTTATGGCAGTAATGATGTTTATGATTTTGATACTGGAGCTGATAAGAACAAAAAGGAATCAGTAGTAAATCTGGTTGGAAGGTAAAGTATCATCAAAGGATAAAGTTTGCAACTTTGAAGTTTATGTTTTTCAATTCCCTCCTAGTAAATGTGTTTTGTGGGTTTTACTTGGAAAAGCCGGACAGGAACCTTAGCCGCTGCAATCACATCGCTCGTACTTGGTGTTTCTGGTCTAGTTTGGACATCTTTGAATGCAAGTAATATCCGTGCAATACTATTACTGGCATCGGCAATACTATGCGGCTATGTATACCAGGTGAGTGTTACTTCCTAGATGACAGTTTGATACTAATCTACGAGATTCTAACTTTAGTAATACTTTGTGATTGATTCTAGTGTCCGCCATTTCGGTTAAGTTACCAAGGATTAGGAGAGCCTCTATGCTTTGCAGCATTTGGTCCATTTGCTACTACTGCTTTTTATCTACTTCTTGGTAGCTCAAGGTAATATCGAAAATTTTACTCAAACCCTCATCAATTTCTGTTTCCTTGAGTTAATAACGGAAACTGGTTAATCGGTTTTGCAGCGAGATGAGGCATCTTCCATTAAGCGGTAGGGTCCTTTCCTCATCTCTCCTTGTTGGTTTTACTACATCTCTCATCCTTTTCTGCAGCCACTTTCATCAGGTTGGTTAATTAAAAAGGCGGTCTAATGATTCCTGAAACGACCCGCACAGTACTGATTACGTTTACATTCTACAGGTGGATGGAGATTTAGCTGTGGGGAAATATTCACCTATGGTACAAATGTGAAAAACTCAACAAGGTTTAATATGAATATGGTGATTTGTGTTTATGATTTAGAGTTTTTTTTTTTTTTTGGTTTACACAGGTTCGGTTAGGGACTGAAAAAGGAGCTTTTGTTGTGAGATGGGCTATTCGTTTGCTATATTCAATGCTTCTAGTTCTTGGTTTAAGCAGGATTTTGCCACTACCTTGCACAGTAAGTTAACAGATTTGAGAACATGACTGAAATACAAGAACATATAACTAAAAACTCTTTTAAGTTTGTTGTTGGGTTTGGGTGTTTCAGTTGATGTGTTTCCTGACATTACCAATTGGGAATTTGGTTTCAAGCTATGTCGAAAAGCACCACAAGGTAAGAATTTAGAATTGGACATTGTGATACAAAGTTTTGCTAATCTAATCTTTAAATGCAGGATAATGGGAAGATATTCATGGCCAAGTATTACTGTGTGAGACTCCACGCATTGTTTGGAGCCGCATTGTCGTTGGGACTAGTTATCGCTCGCTAGATTTCACTTACCAAACATTTGTTTAATTTTTCTCTTTTTCCAAAATTAAATAAACCTTTACTTATGAGCCACTACAATATCATGTAGCCAAAAGGAAACATTCGAACTTAGAACAGTTGTTAAAGGTCTCAAATCACAAGCATGGTGAGCGAGTATATTCTCTAGGTTGATGTGTCATTTTGCCTATAAAGCGGATTTGCTAAGAATTTCTGCAAGGAAACAAGTTTTACAAAACCTAATCTAAATTGTTTGTACAGAAATGACTACAATGTTTTACCTGCCATGACTGGTTTTGGAGCATTCCAGAACTAGATGCTACCGAGAATGGAGCACTCTGCAAATAGTATTAATAGACTTGTAACAACAAAACAAGTCAAACCTAATCTAAATTGTTTGTACATAAATGACTACAATGTTTTACCTGTTGTGGCTGGTTTTAGAGCATTCTAGAACTAGATGCTATCGAATGAGGACCAAACTGCAAAAAAAAATCAAAAAGTTTAATTAGAGCGAATACATCAACAGAATTAGGAACATGGAGTGGTGGAAATATGTTTTACCTGCTGTGGCTGGTAAGGAGGAACATGGAGTGGCGGTATGCTCTGAAGCATCTCAGCAATAAATGACTGGGTTCGCTGGTTGCCAGATGGAGCTGGAAGATGTTGAGGCAGTGCAGCAAAACAAAGTTGTGAACAATTAGAATTGGTTAGTTTAAAATTAAAAAAAGTTAACACTATGTATATAAGATGCATTTAGAAAAAAAGACTTACGTTGTGGCTTGAGAACGGGATGATGGACACATGGTGCTTGCTTTTAACACAATGCTTACCCATAAAACAATGATAGCATAAGCTTAAACCATCAGTGAAGCATTGAATAAGAGCTGGGTTAACTTTACAAACATCACACAATGGAGAATGCATATGTGTCTTAATGTGAGACCCTGTGTTTTGGAGTGTACGTGAACAGGTTCTGGCTTGCTGAGAGTCCCAACAATATACCGGCTCTAATGTGCATCCACATCTTTCACAGCCTTTACCCATTTCTGGAAAAAAAGTATGCAAGAGAAGATGTTGATATGAGTGATCGAACTTATCAAAAGATAGGTATATACAAAGAGAGGCTAAAAGAAACTCTTAAGGTTTTCACAATCTACCAAAGTTCCAAAACACATTTTAAACCTTTAGATTCCAAAAGAAACTTAATGGCTTTCACAATCTGCCTATACACAGGTTTTAGAAACTTGAATGGCTTTCACAATCTACCAAAACACAATCTGGTTCCAATCTACTAATCACACTCTAGGCCTAGGGATTTGAAAATATGAGAACTGGCAAGAAAACGATGAAACCTACACTATGAGAACCCAGAAAATAACAGGCATGGAAGAAGAAGAACATTAGAAGATGATCATATGGCATCAATATGAACAGACAAAGAAGAAGATAGAAATTAGGAATTATAAAAGTGAAGAAGAAGAACTTACCAGGGTTTGCAGCTACACGAGAGGGTAAGAACGCTCTTCACACCAAAACTATGAAATCATAGAGAGGAATCGGAGAGGAAGGAAAAGAATTGAGTCAATATAAACAGAACATATCAAAGTATGCAAGAGAAGATGTTGATATGGGTGAGCGAACTTATCAAAAGATCATAGAATACCAAAATTGTCCAAAAAAGTAAAAATATCAAAATTTGTACAAGTCTGACACAACAAAGCAAAGGGCATATTGGTCAATACAAAATTTTGTAACAAAAACTAAGAAAGTCAAGTTTTAAAAAAAAAAAATAAAGTGATATTAAACCATATTCATGTGATAGCTCATTAATCTATTTTCTGTCTTTTCGCCGAAAGACTTTCAAAATCCTACAAACAATAGGCAAAACCATATTGAAAAATGTGTCAGACTTTCTGTGATCAGACCATGAGTAACACCACTAACCTTGCTAGTTCAAGGATGAAGTGTAAATAGTGCTAGTTCACCAGCAACAATTTGACAAACATGTGTGAAGGGTTGTGAAGGATCATAGGCAGGGCCGGTCCTAGCCTGTAGGTGGCCTAAAGCATATTTAAAAAATGTGGCCTTCTTTTATAAATACTAAAAAAAAAAAAAAATTATATGCCTATGAAAGGACTCGAACTCAGAACCTCAAACAAACTTCAAGCCTACATAACCACTAAACCAACATAACACTTTCAAAAATGTGGCCCTTAACTTTGTTATATATTTTGTGGCCTAAAGCAAGTGCTTTGCTTGCTTTATGGACGGGCCGGGCCTGATCATAGGTTACACACAAGCCATAAATGCGGTTATAACGGCGCAATCTTATCATAAGCTTTTAGAAATTAGTTTGGGGTTTTGATTTCATGATCATGCATTTATAAAGCATGACTTTGATCTACAAAAGTCAATTTTTTTACAATTTTTACAATGTCGATGTCATTCAAAACTAGTAAATATGAGAATATGACTTTGATATTAGATTTTTTTTAAAAAGTAATGTTAATATAGTTGAAATCATATATACAATCAACAAAATAGCTAGTATGTATGGGTGTCTAACCTTAATTATTGAAAAGATTCTTATATTATGGTGGGGGTGGCATGTTTATGATTTTTCCGTCAAATTTGATGTGTATTATTGGAGATAATTTGGAAAGCAAGATTTTATTGTGACATATTAAACTTCGAATCACTTTAATCACAATAAAATGATTGTGACTAAATATTTATATATTGTGACGATAAAATTCGTAACAATATTCACTTTTTACTGTAGTATATACGTACTAAATATTTATATAGTATGTTCGTGTTATCGTCGGAATCCTAAGAAGGAGAAGCAACTTGATTCCTAGAGCCACTGCCTTGTGTATTGTTGGCGTTGGTTGCCGTCGTCGTTCCAAAGCTTATGTGGCCGTCGTTGTGAGAAACCATTGTGAGTCTGGTGGAGGAGAACTGGAGAAGAGAGAGAGCGTGAGACCATGGCTACTGTGTGACACTGGAGATTGCCACTACAAGTCACAAGATGTCAGCCGCTTTCACCAAAAAAGTTGTAGTCCATCGACGAGGCCTTAAGGCTTAAGGGTAAGGAAACCCTAGATTTATTTGGTAACTTGTGTATGAAGTTTCTGGCTTTGTCTTATGATCTGTTGCTTTGTTTTAATTTTAATTGTTAATCCATGAGGAAGTAACCACCATGAGTTTCAATCTCCTCGTTGAGCCACCTAGAAGATCCGTCGAGAGTAATCGCCGAAAAAGGTAAACGGCTAAGCTGAACTCTCGTGTCTGTTGTGTGTTGTTTAGATTACTAAACCGGGAGTCTAAACCAGTCTAAACCATGGGATCCCGCGTGTACTTGAGTCCATTAACCGAACGTAATAATCGTGAGTGACTTGTGGTGGTTACGATGTGGTGAATTGGGATTATCGAACTGAAACATTGTGAACTTGGATTATTTGTGGTATTATTAAATTATTAGATATTTTGGTTAATTTAATTACTTAACCAAAAAAAAAAAAAAAAATTACTTAACCAAGTTTGATTAATTTAATTGGAAGTATACCAAATCAATTAATCGAAACTAGAATTTTGGTTTGGATTAGTAGATTAAATCAAAGATTATTAAGTGGATTTAATCTCTGAGTGGTTAATTTTAACTGATGCAGATTGAGATCGTCGTTGAAGTGGGTTCTTATTGTTGATATTCTTAAACCAAAGAATTCAACTGATATATTAAGGTGAGGGTGGTATTTGCGGATATGTAGTAACTTCTTTCTTTATATACTCTTCGATAGTTGCCGAGTATAGGTACGAGAATTGTCTTTGTTGGTTTACGTGAATTTGTGTTTATGATAAAGTTAGGTTGTTAGTAACATGATATGTAAAATGCATTAGTGACATAATTTGATATCATGTTTAACGTATATTAAATTTATAAAAATGATTATGTATATGTATATGAGAAGAGAAAACAAAAGAGTATGAGAATGATACTTGAGGAGGTTGGACTGTAATGGACCGACAGGTTCATATACAGGTTAGTAACCGCTGACGAGCAATAAAGGAAAAGATCGAGTTACGGGCCGTGGTCTTCAATAAGTAGGTTTGAGTAGCCATAAATTAAAAGAGGCTCGAGTATCCATAAGTTAAAATACTTAAAACTACTAATAAAAGTAAAATATATTGTTGTGGGCAAGACAAATGATTGTTTGATTGAATGATAGACATTCTGAATCAATGCTGAGTGATGGTTGTTGATTATGTTTGCAACGTGATTATTGCATATCCAGTGGGCAGAGTTGATCTCCTCACTGCTCACCTTTTTTTTTTCCTTTTTTCGAGGTTAGTAAGTTTAACAAGTTGTGGGTTAAAGTTTAATCGTTAGTAAATTTTAAAGAAAAAAACATTTTGACAAGATCGGATGAATAACATACAGTCATATCTTTTGTGGCAGGACGGATGTTACATCTTTGACACGTGACACGATCCGATCCTATAAATTAGTAACTTTAAAACCATACTTTATATAATAAAATTTGACATATATGATTAATCTAATCAATTATATATATCAACAAATAATGTACATGCACATATACTGATACATCTTTCATATATATATATATATATATATATATATATATCTATTGTAGGCCACAATTATTTTTAAATATTAGTTTTAATCATGCTCTAAAGTTGAACTTATTCGATCTTGTTCCAAGAATTGCACATCAAGGATTTGGCTGGATCAAGACATTTATCAAACCAAGAGAAAAAAACTGATTAAAACAGAAACTGAAGATGGAACAGAAGATATATCCTTTTTTTTTTCTTTTTTTTCACTGAATGATATTGATATTAGATTTGGAAAGGTTACAATACATGAGAAAGAAGATAATAAACTACAAAGAGACACAATGCTCGACCCATAACCTACTAAGAGGAAGGGAGATTTCGATAATACATTGCAAAAACCAAACTAATCTTGTCTCAAGACTAACTAAGCTCTCGAAGCTCACCATAAGGACTTCCCGCACAACAAACTATGAAGACGAGCTTCAACA